CTCTCCGCGGGCTTAGCCTCCGGTTCACCGTTTAACGAAGCCAGAGCTATCTTTGGCTGCTTCCGTCCCCCGGAGATCGCGAGATCACCCCGGCGGCTACGGTAGCTAGCTATAACCTCATGAAACGTGACAGATTTCTCCTGATCTGCGAGCTTTTCGCGCCAGGCTGTGCACCAAGTATCATCAACCGGTTGTATAGCGTCCAAGAAGTCTCGTATCGCGAAATGGTCTCCGTTAGAGCAGTCAGGTATACCCGCGATCTTGCCTTCTTCGAATAGGCTAACCCACTGGGTCAACCAGTGGTTAGTATCCCCTTGAGGCCTCTGCCTGATCATCTCTCTCCAAGCACGACGAAGTTGCTGCTGGCGATTCTGAGGCTTTGGTTTAAACGTTTCGGATAGCTTCATCAACTTCTTCCGCGGTGAATCCTCGCCCACGACGAGGTAGTGATGATCCGTGGCTAACGAACGGGTGATGAGGCTGTTTAATCGTGACATAGTCTTTAATAACCTCTGTCTGCGCTGATCGCGGCGATCGTACGCTTGAACAGTGAACGTGTATCTCTTGAGCTCCGCATCTTCTAGGTCCATGATATCTCTCTCCCGCTGGCGGTTATCCCGGGGTAACGAGGGCTCTTCCTGAGCCTCAGGCACCTGCAGAACTTCGTCATCCGCCTTCTCAGGATCAAGGTAATCCCACACATCTTCTGCAACAGCCGCTGATTTGATATGGCCTATCCAGACCCTCCACTGCGCTTCCGACTGAAGCTTCTGGTCAAGCGGGACTTGCATCAGATCTTCCCTCGTGATATCGGACATCTTCGCACAAGATATAGCTCAGATACTCAAAATCTCCTCATAAAACGTTTCCGAAGGCTGCTTGTCGGTCCGGATTTTCTGTGCACTGGACGCAAGAGCTCACAAGGGGTGGCTGGGCGTTCAGGGGTATCCGACCGTGTTGGGTGCTTCGGGGATTCGTTGACTGCGAGATACAGAGCAGGTAGGTGATATATCTCCTTTATACAGTCAGGCAGATCGGGCTCATAACTGTCAGGATGAGGAATTGATGTACTGGCTGGTACTGAACATGTCCAATAGAATCAGGTGATTGATTGTAGGTGTTTAAAGATCGGTTGAACGATCTCAGGGGTCTATACAAATAAGCTTCGGCGTGTTACAACACCGTCCTTCCGAATCTGCCCGGAATACCGTACAAATACTAGTGGGAATTGGGTGATCGATGAATAAGCGTCCCAAAGGGTCCTAGTGGTATTTGACCACTCTCTCAGTTCGTCATATTTGCTTCCGGGGACCCCGGAAGGATGGCGGGCCGGAGGCGGCTGATCAGACCGTCGAATACAGAGTTTGGATTGGCCGCCCTGGCCATAAATGTCTCGGCCGCGGAAATTAGCCGCGCTGTACTTGAACCTGATTCTCCGTAAAAAGTGCAGCTTGGTGAACTCGTTCCCCTCATATCGAAAAGGAGTACCTCACGAGACGAAACGAAATTTTTCTTGGCTTTGAAGCCGACGTTCCTGGGTGCCTCTCGGCCTAAGGAATATTGTCTGGCGACGTACTCTGGGATGGGCCAGGTCTAGACATCGAAAGCAAGAACAAAGCCCACTTTTCTCAGGGGCAGTTCTCCACAATAAAAGATGGGTACGCTATGGGACATGGGGCGAGGGTCGCAAACCCGTTTATCCTATGCTCGGTGATTGGCTGGTAATTAGTTCAAACCATCCAATGAAATTTAGTAGAATTCAATGATAAGAGGATGCAAGAAAAGAATACAAAAAAAGGGATGGGTTTGTGGAACTCGGCGTTGTATCGCACTTTAGAGTTCTAACGTCTCGTGGCGTAACGCATTGGCTTTCCCTAAGGCATTCTTGGCAGCCACCAAGCGCAGCACAGATCGCCAGTTGGTGAGATCTTCCGTCTCCCGGTTTCCTTCTCGATTTCACGCGACAGCTCCATCACGCACGAAGAAACGAAATTTGCCTCAAGACCCAGAGCCATAAAATTAGGAAGATCGGCAGGGGATCATCGTCGGGGGCCAGCCGAGAATCTAGATTCTTGGCAGTTATCAGTCGGCTGCGGAGCTCAGCAGTGGCATGGATTGGCATATCGGGTAGACAGGGCAAATTCATAAAGGGGGCCTCGGCCTAGCCGAGACTTCCCAAGCGTACCGTGATTCATGCATTATTCTTACCCCCGTAGAAAGATCTGCAAGCCGACAGAGGCTCTACCCAGTTTTCTCAGGATCAACTACCTTCCGGGGGGTGGGCCACAGCGGCACGGGTCGGGTCACAGGCAGGATTCCTACGGCAAGCGGGTCTGAGAGTCTCCATCTAGAGTCGACGATCTGTACTGTGGTGTGTTGGAGGCTTGGAGACCTCCAAGAAAGTGGTTGTGCTCAGCATAAACCAAACGGTAGCTCGGCATAGCAAGCGCGTAGATCCATATGGAGCAGGAACAGCAGGGGGCTCACCAAGTATAGGAACCGGTGGCAGTCTAGCCTAAGGGACCACTGCATGCCCCCCGAGACGTAACGTAGGAATGCCGAGATACCCGCCACGATGCCTGCTAGGGAACTCTATCGGGGGGAGGGGGAGGAAGACTAAACCTCGCAATTGGAAGCTATTCATGAACACTTGAATTTCAAATTTTGTCAATTTCTCATTGGTGCAATATTCGCAAGCTTGCATCGGGACGATGCAACATCTCCCCGGGAGTAGATCCTCTTGCCAGGAACCATCTTACCCTAAGGGAAGAAAAGCCCTTCAAACACGCCAGCGCAAAGATCGAAGTGGGTTGGATAGCAATAGCTTCGCTACACCCTGTATTTTCTGATTTTGTGCTTCTTATCTCGGTTAGTCTCGTATTTCGGCAATATTTTTGATGGCTGGACAGAAACGGCAACGATCGTCCCTGCACGTGAAACAATCATCTCCGATCCATGTGGGCCGTTCGTTTTGTTTCCACCTGTCCGCGGTCCAGGTACCATCGTCTCCCTCAAAGCGCGTAATCAATCCCCAAATTAGGTTGCGAAGCGCAGTGGCGCTCTGACAGTAATCAGTCGACGAACTCCCAAATTACATTAGGTTCCTAACGGCGTAGATCTCGGGCCAGCTACGCACGGACGCTAGTAGCTCGTGAAGCTTATGCCATTATGGGTGTACGTATCACAACGCGTTGAAATGATCACTATCGCTTGTTTATTCGCCTTGGGTTGTCTCATTTTGCTGGAAGCGCGAATGAATAATATGTATGTGCCGCAGGTATTACGATGTCATTCCCTGCTCTCCCTGCCTTCCTTCTGCGTCACGCCTGGGGCGTCCGGGTGGTCTTCGCCCCGTGACTGGACTACCCTTGGAGAGAGAGTCGAGCTGCCTTCTCAGCATCGCTACCTCTTTTTCAGCATGGCCGACTCTTCTCGGAGCAACGATACTTCCTGGTACCCGCCCTGCATGGTCTTCATGCCTCGTGCCATATCGTCGTTCCAGGGATTTTGTTTTTCGAGCTGACGTTCCATGGACCTGGAAGATTCCTATTAGCTGATATTTGCAGCACGCGTGAATTGTGCACCCACAGAACTCGTTTGTCTAGACTAGAATGACATTAGCCTCACTCGTAACTCCGGCATGTAGGGGGGACTGACTCGTTCAAACAGCTCACACACCTGTCAATAGACACGGGAGCATCAAACGTTTCATTAGGGTCCGCTGCGGGACCATGATCATCCGCACTTTGGGTCTCCATAGCCCAATCGGCGTCTGATCTGTCTCCTGCGTCTCCGTCTCCTTCGTCTTCATCCATCGGCGCATAGCTTTCTCCTGCGCAGGATTGTGTTTCCATGTCATAAGAGCAGTCCTCATCTTGGGCAAGCGGATCCGACCCGGGAATGCTCCAGATGTCGAAAGGCTTGGAGGCAAGCGCAGTGCGCAGTTGCCTGGAGAATGGATTCTGCACGATATCCATAGCTCAGGTCTTGTCAAAAAGGCGAATGAACTCCAAAGGATTGAAGTAAGGGTGGGAAGCTACGGCCAGACCTTCTGACCGACGGAGGTCGCACTTGATTTATAGTCCGGATGGGGACGATGATGGAGAGCTTGAACCAATCAGAGGACTAGAGCTGTATGCCCTGCGAAATCCAGGCGCCCTTTGATTTCCAAGTATACCCCAAAAACAAAATATAGGTGGCTGGACAGTAATTCTAACTGCAGGTCTAGACTCACTACGGGGGTCTAGAGGAGAGACTTGATAATACCTTGAGGGCCCTCGGAGAGAACCACTCGGCCTGCAGGCAAAACCCTTCTCTCCTTGTCCCCAGATGGATTTCCGGCGGACGATATCAGAAAACAGCTATCGTCCGAGCGAATGCAGGCTCACGAGTAGGGCTTTTTTCCCTTCGTTCAATGGGACGCAGCATATAGTTGACGCAGCTCGGCTGGACTGAAGTTCAGAGATCCCAACGACCCTTTCCCCTCCGAGAAATCGAAGGACCGATAAACAAGCAGGCATGGCCAAAACTAGCTTGGTCATCGTTGCAAGGATGTGTAAAATAACCAATTCTCTCAAGTACAGCCCTTTACGATCTAGTCGACCTCATTGTAGCCGGCCCCACTTGAGCAATTCGAGTGGGCTTGAAGGCGATGGACCAAAAGAAATGGTGAAATATAATAGAAAAAAACTGTGAAACGAATTGCACTAAACTCGCTTCGCCAAAATTGAGCTGGTATTAATTCAATGACCATCAAATATGCCCGGGAAGATTAACTCCGCAGATTCCGCCTCAGTTCAATTACTGGCGAGGAGCATCCACCCTTAGAATGAATTAATGATATACTTGTTCAAGATAGGAATGGTGAGTTGGAGTATACAACAGTTAAATTGATGTCGTCCGTCGTTCTTCACCCCATGTCTTCCAGTGCCCTCACTGCTTGATTTTCTTACCGAGCTTGACGGTTGATCTTTTTGTTGACACTTACCCTGATTACCACAATGCCGAAAGGTGCCTACATTCCTTGGACTGCATCCGAGGAGAACAACCTCGAACCATGGTTATTTGAACACCGCTGGATGTCGTGGGAAAGAAGGGCCGAAGAATATTCCAAGCAACACAACAAATACCGATCATTCGAGTCGCTGCGAGGGAAATACAACCAGCTCCAGAAAGGGATTAGACGACGGCGTCCCATCTCTAACAGAATATCCGCACACACCCGCACGGTGGCGCGTAGGGCTCGGTACCGGCATCAGAGGCTTCCAAAGGGCTTCCCTCCTCGCCCTCCTGTCTTTAGGCCTCAGACCCCGGATCCTTGGGCTCGCCGAATCTTGCAGCAACAGAAAATATCTGAAACCTCACTCCCGAAAGCTTCTACAGTGACCTTGCAGTTCCAGGATGACCATGAATCCCCCAGCCCAGCATATCATGTCACCCCGGGTAGGTCGTCGTGAAGCCCGCATTGAATCGCATTGACGATTGCTGATTGCCTCTTTAGTCTACATGAGCCCCAAGCCCTTCTTTCGTCGACGTAAACAGCCACTGTTTGTTTCACAACTTTGGGAGAAAATGCGCCGCATCCATATTTCCACGGGAGAAACCGGAAGTGACTGATTCAAATAGGATGGACGGGCAATACAAAATGAGCATGGTGGTTTTGTGGCAGGAATGGATATGTAATAATGCGGATGGATGTATACAACATCTTTACATGGGAATATAAATATTGGATAAAGCTCCGTTACTGCGCTTTCTTGGCTAGTCTTCTCCCATTCTCAAATCTGGCGCAGAGCTTTAGACCAGAGCTAGTGATGGTCATCTATCCACGAGGGCGGAAGTACGGGTAGTGAGTTCATGGCAATGGAAGAAGACTGGCCCTGGACCTGTTTCCTGTCCTCCTCCTATGGCCTGTGTTTCTGGATTAGGGCTAATAATGTTGCTTGGTAGCGAATTGCGTTTGCACTTTACAATCGGTTATTTTCACCGATATATCTCTTCCTCTCGTAATTATACACAGGTACATCGTGGCTGTAGAACTGACAGGAAAGGGCAGATTGACTCCAGTGATCAGGAAGAAGGTCTATTTCTGGACTTTCATCTCGGCTTTCATCTCGTTGGGGTGCGAACGAGCTGCTCTAGAGTGAACAAAGGGTGTGGACTGTGTAGGTAGGCAGGTATGTTAACAAAAAAAATTCAAATCCTGGCAGCTACAAGTCGCTCCACTTCAGAACTATTCCTACCTTTGCGTTATACCAAAGCTTGATCTTGATATCCGACATAGCTCCAACATGACTAAAATGCCTCTGTTACTTACGTGAGTAACCCCAAACTTACGGAAAGAGTTCAGGAGAGGATTGCATTTGTCCGGTGTTTTCCCGAAGCTTGGAGCCGAATACCAACTCGAGCTTGAGCAACTCGGATTCTTTCTTTTCCTTTCTAGATCCTCAACCAAGGTAGCGAAATGGATAGACCGGTTGCTAATCATGCATGCAGCCAAATTGGGCTGTTTGATCGCCGGGGGTAAGAAAAACGGCCCTCGTACGTAATTACAGGTATGCCTAGAGTGGGCCACGCCCAAACCCCGAGCGGCTCGCATTGCAAGCATTTCCACGGTTCGCCCGTCTAGTGGCTCCACAATGTCCCCACCTTCACTGACAATATGACTGAAGGCAATAATGTTTTGGTCAGTTGGAAATCCAAAGCCGAGCAGAAATGAATATAAACTAGACATTAGGATCTAGCTAAGATGGAAGGTGGAAGGCGCCTGAATCAGCAACAGAGGCAATCATCCCCGCGACAGTTCGAGAAGTAAACATTGGTCTTCTACCCCGTTTGTGATAATATCTATGAACTCTAGTATATTAATTTAATAAAAAGTCCAACGTCTGAAATTTAACGAAAAAAAAACTACAATTCGCCCAAATTGTATTATTATTGCCACCAAAATGCAACTTAACAAAGCTCGATCAAGGGGAAACCTACAGAGGTACAATTTCGAAAGCCTAGTTTTCCCAGTAGCTGTTGAAAAAATGGCTCGGCAATCTTGTCTGTCAATAATATCTGATTTCTTCCTCTTCGCTTTTGACTAAACATTCTAGATTGAAACATATTGCCAATTCATGCAGAACCAGGTTCTTGCTTGATCCTAGCACGCCTCTGGCGCGCCGCCTTGGGTAGGCGCGCTGGATTTCCCTGAATAGTCGAAATTCCCAGCGACTTGCATATGCTATTCACACGAGTTTTCAAGCCGAACTCTCTCTCTTTGAAGCCATGAACCTCGTCGCGCAGTTGTTCCATTTCTATCTGTAGCCTAGCGTTGTACGCTGCCTGCTCTTGGAAGCAATTTTCGATTGTTCTGTTTAGATCAGCAGCATATCATCTAAAGTGCTAAGCAACGACCCCGACCAAAGCCAAATGAGCATTTCACGGGGTGTGATAGCGGGGAAGAAGGCACTCACTGGGTTCGCTCATCCAATCTAAGAAATATCAGTTAGCAAACTGAACGTGATTTACAGGGCGCATAGATGCTATGAACTCACTCCTTGACACATGCGAGCAAAAGATCAAAAGTATCTCGCTGTGGAGACCCTGAATTTCAATCAGCTCTGACCTTAGTATTAACAGCTGTACCTCTGGGTACTCACGGCAAATATTTTCCTCGCTCAATGCAGTGATTCCCACTTCCCTAGGGCTGTGATCACTGGGAGGGTTGCTATTGACAGAGGGATTTTCTGTGATATCCATTTTGAGAGAAGAAAACAGAAGAGTAGTTGCCTGAAGAAAATAATACTCAAGGAGAAAGATGTCTTTATAGAGAACGCGAGTCCTTGAGCACGTGACGAGGGCCGTCGGCTGATCTCTCGTATTTCCATTTGTCACACATGCTGTACAATAGTGACAAAAAACGCTTCACACTTTCTGATTCAAGTTATAGTTGTATGTATAGGAAGTATTCTGTCCCAAAACACACGGTCTTCTCAATCGAGCTGTTGGAAAATCCAAGTTTCAGCATCCTGCGACCTCGCTATCTCGAAGATCCCCTTAAGCTCAGATTCCTTTAACTTCAGCAAATAGCATGTATGTATCGGCTCTCGCCGGGCGACCGCAATGTTTAGTGCGCGTGCTAGCTGGTTGATCATTGTCGAAAATTTTTATTTTCACTTAATCACCAGACAGACGCAGACCCCACTGAAACTAGTGCGGTTATATTTATCAAAGTTCCATCGACCCATTTCTGTATAAGGTCCGTTTTGTTCAAACCTCGGCCAATAGCAACTTTTAGTTGAAAAATAATGCATTATCACAATTGAACAAAATAGATCGCAGTACCCACGGATAGTACGTAAGCGCAGATGACCAGTGCACAGATATAAGTTTGAGGGAGCTCCTTTCTTCTACCCATGCCAGCACTTCACTGTTCAGATACATATCTCGACCTTTCGATTTCTGAGGTGATTTGAATGCATTGCACACCGTGCAACTTGTATCGAGGTGACCATCATTCTCTGTCGAGTTCGACTGGTAACACTTCGCCTACCCCAGGCTCATCGCCATACCCAATGGGAACCCTCAATGTGCGGGATGGTATCTGTTCCCATATATCGAGAGTACAGACGCCGACAGGTCGGACTCTCATGCGCTCAAAACGAATCTGGTTACCCGAGGAAGACAAAACAATTGTTTACCTCCGAAACCAGGGAAGAGGATGGCTCGCCATCAGCAAGCATCTTAATGAGAGAAGTCCAACTGCCTGTCGCCTCCGATATCAAAACTACTTGGAACGATGGGACACTTGGGATGATTACAGCAAGACTCAGTTAGCGCAACAGTATCTGAAGTATGCCCTGACTTTGTTCCCGATGATGCCATTATACTGATCTTTCCATTTCTTTCTAGACACAAATCGGAGCTGTGGCTCAAGGTAGCCAAGCAAATGACTGTTCCTCCGCGCGCAGCAGAGGGCATGTTTTGGGAGCTCGCGGAGAAAGAGATCGCTAGTCGCGCTGGCATCGTTCACCCAAGTCGTCTCAAACATTCCCCATTGAGCGTTGAATTCAGCTCTAAGAGAATTTCCATCAATGGTATATTGAAGAGAAGTGACTTGATCAATCACAACGTCAAATCAACAACTCAGCTTCCATCGTTAAGGGAAGTTCTTTCTACCCTTTCTCAATGTTCAATGGTCACAGAACTTCCCGCAATGCAGTATTCGTTCGCCTGAGTACCACGTCTCAGCACAGCTTCCATCTGTTTTTTGTTCCGCCAGAAATAATCCAAGATACTGAGCTTCCATTAGATGGATCCTGGGGAATCTGGGTTGCCCACCGACCGTCTCATGACATGGCTTTTTGAATGACGGATTGTGCAATACTTCAGGTTCCACTCATTGCCGAAGTTTTGATTTCACCGAAAGAAACCATATTTTTTACTGTAACTAAAACAAAGATTGGAGATGTTCGAGATTTTGGTCAGTTTTCCCATTCCGTGGTGCTAGTGTACAGGTCCGCTCGAAATTAGTTTCACCATGTTATTCTCTTCGGTTCTTTCTTAAGTCTTGGCCAGACCCACCTCGGCCTACATCTGGACTAGCCCATCAATTACTGTCGAATAGGAAAAGGGTAATGAAAGTTCACTAGCTATATCAGGCCTAGCGTTGATAAAAATAGATATTGAGAAGCAATCAAAGAGAACAAATTGGTGAAACTGATTTCGAGCGCGTCTGTATCCCATAATCAACGTTACAGGCTCTATTTACTTCCGATTTTGCACCGATCTGAACTAAACTAACTCCAACAAAATAGGTCATAAAGGAGTGCAGGCTATAACAATCGAAGGATACAGCCTCAGCAGCCATTTAAACTTGCTCTTATTGAAGCAACTTTTCTATCTTAGTTTCCCAACTCAACTCATTCAACTTACCACGGCAGACGATCATGATCTGGACTCGCTTCACGAGTAACTGAGGATGAGACACTACAATCTACCATTTTCTTGGACTGCAATAATGATTTGCAGAAAAGGTATATTCCTCCTTCGTAAGACATGGTTGGTCAGTCCTTGAAATTTCGCAGTCGTAGATGAAGGCATTAGAAGAGAACGTGGAAATTACTCGACACCTCGACCTCCCCCTCATGAGAACTGCTCTGGCCCATAATACAAATACACTCTCGAGATCCACAACCGCATCTTATTGAAACAAACAGCATGTTAGAAAGCAATGCCACTGGGTCTGATGTGGCTGATGAAGACTACCAGTCTGAGCGCTAGGAGGATGACAGTAATCATCGCTGGCTCTCCAGACAAAGCGCTGATGGTTAATCGTCTCAGTATGACCATAATACCCTTCTTGCTGGCAATTTACATTGGCTTGGTCATTTATTGTCTCATCAACCTGACGTGCAAATCGAACGGGAGACACTTGCGCTCGCAACCTCGGATATGACCTCCTCGAATCAGCCTGCTCTACAATGTATGGCGTTCAAGAATCTTGTTGATTCTAAGCTACTGGTGATGTATTAAAAAAATTACTTGAGAAACCTCAGAAAAGAATTGACACGCTTCGTAGGTTTCAGGTTTCATTAACTTTACCTGGCCCTTGAATACATATTAAACGATCACATGCCCAATCCATCGTGATCATGGATCGGATTAGATATCTTATGTCTCGTCATGTTTGATATGAAAGTTTATAAAAACCCATTTGACCACGTTCAGTGTTCGTCCTTGGGTACTGTATCGTGAAAAAGTAAATCATCTAATTTGATCACGATCGAGGCATATATCTCAATTGATGAAGACCCTGACTACAGCACTACGTGAGAGATGTGGTATTGGGCAAGGGTGACTTTTGCTGGAGGTACTTATGCGGCTGTTTCAAGTACACCAAAATAAAACTTCATCGAGGGCACTCCCCACTATAACGCTGTTTAAAAACTGTGAGGTTCCTCATGCGTGTAAAGAGTTAAGGTATCTGGCCATCGAAGGCACAGAACGTGAGCGTAAAAGGTAGTATGGCATTCAGACAAGGGGCCGAAGAACTTGGTCTCCGGAAACTGACTAGCTTGAACAAAGGCACGCCACTATAAATTGCAGATCAACGGCAGCTATCTTTCCGATGTTTCTATCCGGAGCAGTACAGCCCTAAACAACCAAGCCTAACCCTCCATGCTTCTTGTTTATTATCTATTGAATTGAGTTTTGTTAGATTGCAGATATCTGTGACGCACAGGCTGCTCGTTATGCATCTTTCGGATATGCTTTGACAATCCGCTCTTGCTCTTATACGCCTTTTTGGAACACATATGGCACTTGAATTCTTTCTCAGAGTCCAGAGGAATTGTGTCTTTGTGACGACTGCAATCATATACCCGGGAGAAGATGGTACTGCAGGCCTCCCCGGTGACTGGACTCGTGAAATCGCATTTGTAGGGGCCAGTTTGGTCATTGCATAGAGTATCATTGGAGGAAATCAAATCAGACTCCCTCAGTGTATGTATATATGCGTCTGACTTGCGCGCATCGCCCGATGAATATGTTTTCAAGTCGTCCACACAACAGTTGCATGAGCATTCAAGAGTATTGGGTGCACACAACGAACCGTTGCCTGGGCTTGACATGCTCTTTTCATATGTAGTCTGGTCTTGAATCAACAGCGGACCTGTAATGGTCTGCTGGAGTACCCCAAGGTCGTTGGATGGCGTCGCGTCAGTGGGAAGTGTATAGGAAGGATCTCCAGTTGAATTTAGATCATATGAGTTATTTGATAACTCCAGATCCGCTGAGGACTCGTAGGGAAAAGCTGAGCTCGAGGAGAACTCTCCATATGGGAAGTCAAGAGGGGAGCAAATAGGCAACGGTATGAAAGAATAGGCAGTCATATCTGCTGTTGAGTTATACTGCGCCAGGCTCGGTGGAATAATGGTACCATTGTAGGACTCTGGAATTTTCCAATCGTAGTAGGAGGAGCTCATATCATTCGTAATTTCAATTTGAGTCACGGCCGTGTCCGTGTTTGAAGTCGGCTCAATTTGAGGTAACTTCAGGGTGTTGAAATTCATTGGAAGAAATGAATTTTGGCAAACAGATGAGCATCCAGTCGCTAGCGCTAGATCACCGAGAGGTGCATTCCGTTGACTCATCCTGGACTCTTTATTCATCTGTGCTGATTGGTGTCCGAGCTCCAATGACAGGAAGGGATCAGGAGACACTGTAGAAGTTGGATCCAAGGAGCCTACTTGGGAAACACCGAGTCCAACATGGGTTCCATTGAATGTCATATCTTTGGTGACGCCAGTTGGCTCTATTAATGCGTAGAAGTGTTAGCAGTTGAGCTTTTCTGCGGGAATTCATTTCGTACCACAAAAAACATGATCTTCGAGTTCAAGCCAACTGTATTGCATACCGGTCGATAATACTGAACCGCTATGTTGGGTCTGAGGTGCAGATGAATCTTGCATGCAAGGAGCTAGTATCGCCCCATCGACATAGCTCCCCTCTTGACTCAAAGGATTGATACTCAAGTATGAATTTTCAAAGTGTTGGGTCGGCTCATAGGGGGGCACAGGAAGTGATGGAGAGCATCCCACTCGTGTATCGGTCTCTGATGGCAGAAACTCGGCAGTCAACATCGGCATGTTATTGCTGCACTTTGAATCTGCGGTGTTATGAAGCCGCGTCGACATGATAACATCAGAGCCAACGTAGTATCCAGAAAAAATAAAAGGTGTGGTGAATCAAATGAGAAGCCGTTGTAGGGAAGCGCAAAGCTTTTAGTTTTGGAAACCGCAAGAATTTGAGAATCGGCGGAAAATGGCGGATTATAAATGCAAGAACATCTCCAGAAGCGGTTTCAGTCGATCAATCTGTTTATTTGATGTCCTGTGGGTCTCGTTCCCAGGAACAAGATTCAAGCAAAGCTCCACTTCCTCTCGTTTCCATTTGCCCGTAAAATCATGATGACTATCATCATTGACCTATCAATACCAATTATCTATGCGGTTCCCAGGAGCATGTGCACACCGATGACTCCTCGGTCTCCATTCTCACAAGGCCGTCATGCAAGTCAGGGTTGGGAGAGACTTCACCGATAATTGGTGACTCAAGTTTTCCATCCGTTTCTCACCTTCAGTGTTTACCTAGCTATAGTATTACCACAATCACTAAATCCAGAGTGGAGAACGGGGCACACACTAGCATCCAAGAGGCTGGAAATGGTATTGTGATCGCCCATCACATAACTCGAGGCAATAGATTGCGATTTTGCTGCGGGTTTTGTCATAAGGGTTTTTCATGCTTCATTCGATGGTGAGGTTCGTGAATGCGAGATACATACTGTACGCAGCTTGTCAAACTCTTATAATTCTCATATTTGGCATATATCACAAACAATTCTTGACTTTCAAAGTAGCGCATCATGTAGACTTGTTTTCTGGCATTCGTGTTTTGTTTCCTTACCCTTGTCTTTTTACCTGAAGATACTAGGCTTTACGGGAGCCAAAGGAAAACCCCCAGAAGGCTAGTTCATGGTGATCAGACCAGCCCGGACTGCAGACATGGCACGAATTGGCTTGCGACAAGATACGGATGACGTATGCACGTGTTCTTACATGTCACATCAGAGCCCCGAAAACAGTGCAGTAATTTTCCAATGTTTATTTGCCACCGGTGAATCTCGGCCCATTGATCAGGGCAGCATTTCCGTTATTACCAGCATCAGGCCCCGCAGCTCTACAAGCATGCCCGATTACTATACTTCTCAAACTTCACCAGATTGAACCACACCGACTAAGTTTCGCTGGCTGCCAGGAGTTTCGACCACGAGGATATTGAAAATGGGTTAGTCTCTCCACTTTCATGGACACCATAACAATATTCGGAATAATAACAACTAGAAGGCTGCTGGAAATTTAATTTTAGATTTCGCTCCAGACCTTTCGTTCACCCAACCAGCGACAAAAATTCAACGGCTGCCGATGCCCATTCGAGCGGTCACTTATGTGGTAAAGGAACGCTTCGGATTACCCATGGCGTCAAAGATCCCGAAAGATCGTACACCAACCAAAAGAATGACGATATTATGGCATTCTCAAATTGGTTGTGCAAGACTAGGTGGCACAACAGAGGCTTAGAGGGGGAAAGCACCATCGGAACCAACATCAACGTGACGCGGGAGTAGGTGGGAGATTGAGAATCTAGAAATTACATCTCCGGATAGCAGACCTAGATTTGATCTATCTCTCGGCTGCAAATTGGGCAGCCAAGATGATATAGGGGGTGGTGGTTGCCTGATGACAATGTTGGTGCCGGGTTGGACTAAAGTTCAACTGAATCTACACTATAAGAATACCACAAAAAAAATATAGTATCAATCAACCGCTTTGATGGCTCATCAGCGGCAACAACGCCCTCTGCACTGCGTGTAGAGGTTGCACTCAGAGCACATTGTGGTTTAATGTGACAACTAGCTAGCCTCAGGATGAAGTATTCGAAATAAGAAGTCACGGAGTTTCCAGAATTCTTTCTCTATCGCCGCTTTGAATTTGCTTGCAGATTCACGCAATTCGTGTTTTTTCTGTGAGCTTTGAGGGCTGTCGTCCGAGTGAATCTTCTTTGACATGAAGTGCACACAGCATTGGGGTATATGCCCTTTTTTTCACGTTGATGACGGAGAAGATTGCTAAAATTGGAGAAAATCTTCCCGTTACACCCATGATCCCAGCATTTGAGTTGTGTGCTGGCAGCTTGGCGCTCTTCATTCCACTCCAAAGTGGCCGGCGTACGGTGGAGTTGGTGATTGAGATCAATATCGTAGTTGTGGTGGTGGTGATACCGATTCGCAATTGCGCCTGACGAAAATTGGGTGGAAAAATCCCCCCTGGGGTCATGAGGGAGCACAGAAAAATTATCTGAGGCAGCCGACGTAAAGTTCAAGGATGAATAGCCATTTATGGCCTGTGTGGAGGCTGGTTCTTCCAATCGCCCAGTTGGAGCCTGGTCCTCGGACCCGAGGGTGCGTGCTGATTGCATATAGTATGCCGAGCTCTGAACCCACATATCAGGCGTTCGAAGCCCTTCTGACGAAGAACTACTCCTGCCATTTGGTCAGGTGAGATATTTGAAGTGTGGCACGACTTTACTCACGCATCGAATAGCACTCTGGGTGGTGAATGGGGGAGAGTGGGAATCTGGGGCGATGGACGGATCTTCGGGTGGTAAGCTGCTGAGTGATTTTGCTCTCGGTCAGAGATATATTGCTGTTCAAGAATCTCGTTGGGTATCTGGCTCCAGATTTCAATGCTCTCTGGGTCGGTCAAGGTGGTTTTAACTTGACTTTCGGAAATGTGCATCCTGGTCCCACTAGTCATTAGACAAAGACACGCCGAAGGAACCCTTTTGCACGCTGAACATAAACGCCGCGGATCCATGTTGGAATTATGGCTCGCAGGCATTTCAAATTCTTTTTCTCCGTCCGCGGAATGGATTCTTGGGCCCTGTCTATGTCAGTTCTATTCGAGGGACTACTGAAGAGAGTCGACCAAGGAAGAAAACAGAGCAGACGGACTTTCTGGCAGAATAGTCAGAATTAATGGGCCGATATCTGAATCCGAGACATGCCAAATGGATTGAAAAGGGATATGAAAGAGAAGACCCCAAGTAGCAAGGAACTAGGGAGTTGAATCACCTACCAATTAGGCATTACCACTCAATGACCGGGTTCTACCATAGCTGGGTTTGATCCACATCAATTTGAACACAAGTACATATGTAATTTTGGTACTTTTACGGAAACATAATGTGGAGCCTCCTGTAATTATTACGCGACCATACCATACCACTGCTTAGCGGGATGGATCTTGTTGGTAGCACTGACCGTTTTTTGTTTTTTCTAAATGATGGTGTTGCGCCATTCAGTGACGCCTCTGTCCCCGTTGAAAGATCAAGATTTGACAGAATCTCTATTAGGCCACAAGTTATCCCAAAAGCCAGAGGTCTATTTATCTAGGAATCTGTCTTCCAGCTCAATTGTAGTCCTTTTCTGATAGGACAATCCTGAGTCACACAGTGTGAGTTCCCAGAGTGCTTGTCTCTGAGAGGAAGGATAGTGACGACCGCAAGCACAAACCCCAGCATATTCTAAACCATGGAGTCTCAGAAAAAGGGTTTACTCGGCCTGAACGAATATGCCCAATGCCTTTCCGAAAAGCTCTCTAAATACGTCCGAGCCGGAGGCAACCTTACAATTATTGTTCGCATCACCTGTGAGCAGAGTTTTACGCCTCGTTTTGATGATATGTGGAGGCAATCGAGAACTGCAACGACATCAGAATATGGCAGGTGGGATATCAATTTGGCTGTGACAACTTTATCTGCATGGGCTGTTTCGGAAGCTCAAACGAGTATCCGCTGCGAATCACGGACATGAACAAGGCTTTGCAAATGACAACAGTAATGACAGAAAGAGGTTCTCCGGAGCCAGCGAGGAATCCTGATATTCACAGGAAACTGATTGCAATATGGGGCATTGACGCAACAGAAGTCATCGATTTGCGAGACGAGCGTGACCTGTGACTTTAAGAAAAGGCACACAATTCCGGAAATGTGCGCTCTTGTGACGCTTATGATATGATGAGAGAGTATGTTCTTAGGCATACAGTCATTCCTCCAAACTGGTGAGATTCTCACGCATGTCCGCTTCGTATACAGCCCATTAAAATTGGCGTGCACCGTGGCAAAATTCAACTGGCCTGTGGCAGATATCGGAAATTGAAGTACTCGACGACAATGCCTGTAAGGACTCGGTTCTTTCTTTCGATTATCGGAAACGTCCAAAAGATCGTATTGAACTAGTCGCGAGGGAAGGCAGGCTTATTGGAGGGCCGCATTTATTTCTCATTCGGTTGGTCGGGTAATCGTGATATGGACAAACATCTGTTCAGAAAAAGTCAGCTCACAAAAATTCAATAATGAACCAATTGATAGATTGGGTGGTGGCAATGAGGGAATCTTTCTAGAGGGCCACTTTCCTTCAAGCCTACTCACTTGGTTCAGTCTACTGACTCCTCGAAGAACCAGTGAGCACTGAGAACAGAGGAGAGATTGATCATAGGAGTGCCTGAATTCAAAGATGGTATGTCTTCGCAAACATACAGTGGCTGCTTGATTTAGCCCAGTCCTGGGCCACGTAACTCCCATCGCTCTGCATATGATGGCCTTGCTCGAGTTGGGGCTCGACGCGAGCATCGATAGAGTGAGCATCTCTTGGCCAGCCGCTTTGGAGGGCTTTTATCGAATGAGTTGGGTTCGTGCTGTGGAGATTCGGCGCTTTGCTTGGATCCAGACTTCATGCCAGAGAGAGGTTAGCTAAGATAACAAAGTGTGACTGTTCTTTTCCTCGGGATGGCAAATAACAGAAATTGGAGCTTGCCTGGATGAAGGGAAAGACCACCCAGTGGCCTTCTGATTTGTCTTTGCGTATATTTCTCGATGAATGAATGGTCGATGCGGTTGTGACCAGGCTGGATTGATTGAATGGTTTGAGTTCGGGTACTGGAGGGGGCAGCCTGTGGTAGCCGGAACACCTTTGTCCGTCCCGATGGGGACTTCTACCCGAGGAATCAGTCCCAGGGGTAGAGCACAAACCGACTTTCTATCCGTTTGGCCCATTACGGTCAACAGCTGGAACAAGCTAGCAGAGGGGCCGTTGTGCGATGCGAGAAATCGTAAGAAATCAACGTTCTAGACGGACTGACCAAGCAGATATGCAGTTTACAGCTTTCTCCCATCCTACCTTACACCAGCCGCAGCGCGGGCGTCCCAGAAATTGCGTCTTGCATTCTCAGCTCTCTTCTTTTCCATCGATCGATAGATTCAGATATCGGAGCCGGAGACGGGAAATCAATCCCACCCGATCAAGGGCAGCTATATGCAACCAAATATCCCTCATATCACCAGAACGGCGTTCCAAAGAGCCTTTATATTTGCTGACAACTTCTTCCTTTTGTATAGCCCGCACCTTGATACCTCACGAAAGGCTTCCCCCGGTCCATTTTGCCTGACGATAAAGGCTGAGAGCACGGCATCCTCCACCTCATTTCAAGCCGATTTCAGCACCTGTGAATAATACTCAAAAAGCTTTTCTCGCCGAATAAAAGGAGTACACAGTGGTTCTGGTTGACACTTGGCTGGCAAGGTGTCGGAGATCGGCCTATGGGGACTTGGGAAAGCGCGACAATAGAGGCTTGTTAGACAATCATCGGTTTCTCACTTCCAGGGATCCTCGAATGCAGCAGTCTCTGCATATGGGCCAGAAGACACTAAACAAGTGTGCGTTCAGCCGCCCAACCTCCTACGTCGAGCCCCCGCTATTGTACTGGTTTAGAATCCCATCCTATGTGATCACGAGCAGGTAGCATGCTCTGTACAAGTACACCATTTTAAGGGCATATAGATCCAGAAACAAGTGTGGTCTGTGTGAAGAAGGAAAAATTTTGTAAACATGTAACTGTTGTAGTGCTGTTTCCCATGATCTCGTCAACTTGCGCGCCCTCCCCCTTTGTAGCTATCACTGTAGCGGCAACCCCTCCTGAAGCTATGAAATGAGTCCACCGTTGTTTTGAAACCTTCGACCGTGTCAGCATTTTGCATGAGGCATCGGTCACACGCGCGATATATTCGTACCATCCCAATCCTTCGATCTCACTCAGAAGTAGAAGCTTTTCCACTTCCTCTCTTTCATGAAGACTGATGTCAGAGGATGACAGGGCTTTGCGAAGCGTAGCATATGGGAGTTCCATCCCATGGCTGCCGAGTAGTATGTAACACAGAGTGTCTAGGACGTCTAGAGCTATTAGCACACACATGGAAGATTGCGTCCTAGAAAAACCATACAATATCCCTTCAAATCCATTGAAATGGTGTGTTCGATGTCCCTTAAACGTAGATTTAACATATCCAGGAGAAAGGAGTCCATAGTATCAGCCCACAGTTCCAGAATCTGTGCACGCGTGTTTTGATTAAGACTCTGTAAGACAGTCGTGTAGAAGAATTTTCGGAAGCCAGCGCCTTTTGATCTGACTTTTGTCCGTATTCTTTCCACATCTGCATAGTCTGTTGCCGAAAGCTGAGAATTGACCCATGACAAGGTTGTCTCCCGTGAGTGTTGTTCTGGGAGGAAAGATGGTGACACACATCTTCTCTTAGCTCCCAAAGGCTGTTGGGCTCTAACAGCTATACTGTGAAGCTGGGGATCCTCAGAAAGAGGCTGGTAATCCTTCCTTTTTGCCATGATTTTATGACACCCAAATAAGGCCCCAAAGTAGAATAAAACTGAGGATATTGCGTTCCACTAGGTGTAAGGACAGGGATACAGCTAGGCGGTGCTGTAGACTTTCGACGGAGAGAGTTGTGTGAAAACTTGGCGATATTGTGTACGTAGAAGAAAGAATCATTCAAAGATAGAGATCCACTGATTTTGCCGATGAAACCCAGACTCTAACAGTTCTGAGCCAGGATCAAAGTACTGTGATGTCAGGGGCTCAATAAGAAGGACCGAGGGACGGCTAAGAACTATCCTGGACAATCACGCGACGCAAGATTACCAAATACGCAAGGAAGGAAGATCCGGTTCAAAAGCAATCAATGCACAAGTTTACAGGGCGAGAGATATGAAACTTGGCAATTCTGTGCCCCCAGTCAGCTGGAGGTAAATACTGCAGCTTGGTAGTCTAGCTTGTTTTCCGATCACGGGGGCCGGACACTGCTCCTCATTCCACAAGCAGTGGGGGCCTGTATATCATACGCCACCAGCTCTCGCACTAATTCTGCTAACCCCGCGTGAGAGGCTAGTGGCTCTAGGAGCGCCATGGCCCCGAACTCCAATTTAGGACGAGCAAAGACCAATCCTCAGATCCTGTCACAGTCCCACTTAACACTTAGCGTCAATACAAGGTATTTCAAAAGGCAAAAAGAAATACGTATCTTTGAAAGAAGGCGCTATGATTACGCCACATTCGAAGGGTAGTATGACTGAGCGAGCTAATAGTAAGATAGTGATAATGCGTTCCAAACTACATTATTGAAATATGCTAGTCATCAAACGCATAAAGTACTCAATTTTCTCAAACTCGCAATGCCTAATGTGTTACTCCCTGCTTCTGCCGCTGCCTTTTCGCCGCGGAAACCCCCCATTGTGGTGCTGGATACCAAGATACCGTGGCTGATGGCTACTTTGAAGCGATTGAGCCGGCCCAGGCTTTGTCTGAGCAGTGTTCTAAGACAAAAAAACCGCCTGATGGAGATTTTGTCACCAGAGAATGCTGTCTGGATGCTATGCTCGGTGATATTGCCCAATGCTACCGAAATGGGGCCGCAGAATGATGAGAGCGTGCAGGCGGAAGGTACGCTCAGCGTTCCGCCAATCCACGTCAAGGCATATGTCGTATATGTTGACCTAGTTTGGCAGAATGAGGTGGCATTCAAGTTAACGCCTGAGACTATCGACGCCCTGGTGGAGCGACAGTCAGCTCAGACTGCCGCCTATATATTGGCCTGGCGAGGGAGTCAAGCTCAGCTGAATGTCCGGCAAAACAAATTCGTTCAGGCGATCAATAAGTTCACGTACCGGACCAACGCCATGAACCTGGAGGGTCTGGAGATGGATGGCACTGGAGAGCTACTCCATGAGCCCAGTGAGGCTGCTAAAGAGCAACTTCTTCGTCTTTACATGGCATCGATGCCGTCATCATCCATGGCACCAATGTTGAGCTCAGCGCTTTCATTGCCAGACGTGGTCACACCAATGGCGTCCAACCCTCTTTATTCGTCCGACTTTGTCAAATCCTGGAGTAATCGATCTTCAATTCTCCCCTCAAGTACATCAAGCTTCTTCAATCCCACACTTGGGGATACTCTGGATGTCGGCGCTACCAGATATCTCTCGATGGATTTTGGCAGCAGTCCAATGTCTATCCCCGTATGTTACGTGGGATCGGCCAGTTGCATGTCCTCTCAGCTGCCAGCGGATCGTCAAATAAGCCACTGGGGGCGCTCCTTTCGCTGATAAAGTTGTTGACTCAACACGCCGCAACATGGATTCCGCCTCCATGCTTTGGGTTTCGTTCAGAGATTCGCGTGGTCGCAACTAGTATCGCAAGAGGGAAGTCATCGCCGGCTCTATTGCTTAGAGGTAACGGAGGCAAGTAGGAGGAGTTTTATCGATTCGTGGGAGGTGGTAGTGTGGTGCCCTGGGTTTAATTTGTATGTTCCACGTTGTAGTTGATATTTCACGCATCACAAACCTTCTTTATTATCCACATCGTGGCAAAAGTTGAGCCATGAATCAGCGAATTGGGGATCATGGCAAAACAGCAAGCTAAACTGTCAGACTGTGATGACCGCGATGATAAATCCACCACGGGAAACAACGGAGGCTCCGACCTCGTAGACCGAAGGCGAGAAAATAAGGATGTTCGCGAGCGCGTGTAGTTCTTAGAATAACCAGGGAAGAAGCTTTAGCATTCGGGAATTCTGAATCAAGAGATGTCGTTTCCAGGGGTGTTGAACTTGGTTTTGGGTCACCTTGAAGCCGACGGCTTTCACTTAGGAACGACAGCCTAACCGATGGCTTCAAATCTGACTCTTCCACCGCTGCCAATGCATGGTAACGGAAGATCCAATGGCTAGCATTGAAATATCTTGACGGACGGCAAATACCGCTGTTTGAAGATGAAGCACGTTGAAGCGAGCTTAGCAGGGATGGCGGTACAGCTGATGTGAGACTGAGACTCACAGGGGGGGAATGGCCTTCGGTAGACTAGACATGCTTTTCGTCAGTGGGGTATATGTGACATTGGGTCCCTCAGATAACATTTTCCGGGCAACTTCGATTTGACAAGAATGATTGCGATGCTACCGTATCTGGGTAAGCAGGATAATGTACATTCTGTCAAATAGCCTGCCTTCTTCCTGATAGCACGAGAGTAATAGGCGGTCTGCCAAGGTTTGATTCTCCTAGGTAAGAACATGCAGATCTGCTAGGGCCCATTCCCTAAAGTGGTCCGAGGTAGGCAGTTCTCTTAATATTTGACCTTCGCTTCGCTAAAACGCTTGCGTCAGCTAGTCCTCTTACTGGTAGGTCAATCCAAGCACTTTTTGGGCAGCAAGATTGGTATCCATGGTTACTCATGCGGGAGAATTACCACATGCCTCCTCATATTACGGGCTGTGGATTCGGCTATAAAAGTCGGCGTTCGTTTAATCCCTCTTGTCTGCACTACCTCAAATAAAAGGTCAACTTGTTCCCACCATTCAAGTCTATCCCAGAAACCTTTCAGAATATCTACCAGTTCTATTCCTCAATATGACCAGAAACAATAAATGCGCATCATCCACCACATCTCACCAAAAATCAGCCAGGGGAAGCCCTTCGCGTTCGGACCCTGCTGTATGTTGTTCCTTTTCTTCATGTGGGATTTTGGCTAAAAGTTTGGCTTAATGATAGCATTGCTCGTCAACCTCGGCCATCGGAAACGATAAACAGACAAGCTCTCAACGTATGTTTCATCCACCACGCAATGTGCCTTTGCGTATTTGAACGCCAAGTCTGATTTTTTTTTTGTTCACAGTGAGCTCTAGCATTATCGACATCACCGATGGGGCTCTGGAGAAAGATGACAACGCCAGCCATGGCTCCAGCTATACACATGTAGACGAGAGCTCGATGGTGATTAATGGTAACCTTGCGGATGGCCAGGGACGCGGCTCATTTCGAACGCATGCTGTTCATGGTGGATCTGTACGAAACGGAAGCAAACTTGTCAACGGCGATATGGATCGGGAAACTTTTCTTTCTGTATTCTGTAGAAAGTAATAGGATGATCTGAGTATTCAGGCTACCTATGAAGGTCACTTGGTTAGCAGGTGGTGCTTGGCAGTCAATGTCGTGACAACTTCTTCTCACTTTAAGTTTAGGAGAATCAGAAAAGCGTCCGCTATCAATGGCTTGAATTTTCCAGGAGGTAGGGCTCTAAATGTGGAGCATTTTAGGCGGAAGCTGTTTTTTCATTTTCGAGTTCGAGCGATGGGATAAGAGTGGTGCCTGCTACCTGCATATCTTATTTGGTAGCATCCGAGGCCGTTTGTGATGCACTTTTTTGTTTGCTAGAAGTATATCCGGAATCCTGCCCAAATCTCTCAAAATAGTGTCGTAGAAAAGACATGAAGCAGTATCCATAGCATTGCCGGGTGTAGAAGCAAAGGCTGATTGACAGGGAATGGTGAATAGGTGCCTCTTGACGAGATGAAGGGTTGGGCTAGCTCAGATGCAAGGCGTATCAGCAATTGAATCTCACAAATCATGTATCTTCAAGGACTGACTCACTGCATTGGTTGTCCAGTAGACTTATCTAGCGCATGCATTCCCAGCAGATGGCTGCAAGCAATTCTCATTTCCCAACGACTAGTTTATGATTTATATAGCGGCATCGAAGGCTCCTAGTGGGGCGATGAACTGCCTCTCCCTTCCATGATTCAAGGGCCCATTGTTACTGCAAAACATCCGTTCGCTGCTGCTTTCATCGATATTCCGCGCGTAAATCGAGCTGTCTCGCCATTGAGGTGTGCAGTGTCGATACCAAAGGACAGTCCATAACAAGGCAAGCAGAGCCGTGATTGCGTCGTGAAGTACGTGGGTAGAAGGTATGCGGATGCGAGTCGTGCTTGGTTGGAATACTAATAAAGGTCTTAGCAGCTTCAAGGTAGTCTAATCGTGGGTTGCAATTGAGAATCAAACGAGGGTACGCCGTGGGCTAGGCTTGCTGAAGATATTTTGGCTCAGTATTTTGTTTGATTGATCAATCACCTCATCGCACTACTCATTTGTTTCATGCCTTTTGAAGAGTGATGGCGAGACCTGCGCCACAGAGACAGGCTGTTGGAAGCAGGGAGAGGCAACATGGGGCTTGGTCTGAATGGAAGATTTAGATCTCCGTGTAAAGGAAACGACATCAGATCCTTGAAACAATAGTTTCATGACAGAATCCAGAGATTGGACGCCCTTTCTTGGTGATGTTGATTGACGCGGTGAGTGGTGCTGGGTGGTGGGAGGAGACGGACATGGCCTCGGACCCTAGCGGACCGTTGCTTTGCTGATCTCAGCCGGCCGTTAGAAGAAGGAAGCGTGTCTTGGTATGATTCCCCTTGAGCTCCTGTTATATTGAACGCGAACAGTATGTTTAAGTAATTGAATTAAGGAGAAGTAAGATATTGGCCGCTCTACCAACCGCCTTTTCTTTCTGCATGCCGAATCAAATAGCGCGCATTATTGTTAGATGGGTCCCCGGTAGCTTTATTGACAGATCCGGCATCATAGAGCGCTGGCTCGTGAAAACTTCATTCTAAGTGCTATAAAGCTAAAGATGATAGTTATAAACATCATGGGCCGACATACGATAAAGGTTCTGTAAACTATCAGGCTATGTTGGCGAGAAATGGTTGAAGAAATGGCGAAGGGTTACAGCAAATTGATGCGCACGAAATAATTAACCATCTGGCTTTTGGAATGACCCTTTTGTGGCCGAAAGATGTATATTAAGATACAGGTTTATAATCTAATTTGATTTAAACACCTTGACATATGTTCAAGGGTGCACTTAAGCGGATTGAAATGGAAGTTTTTCCGCTCAGAGGCTAAACAATTAAGGAGTAATTCTTCAATTTGCTAATCCTTTAAGATAACGTATCACAGAATGCTCTGAGATTCTTTCAGCGTCAAAGTCACAAGGAGCAAAAGAGGAGAACTACTCTGTCATCAGGTATTTCATGTTTGGCAGGACTGCAAAGCCCAATTGGGCCCCTTTTTCTCAAGTCCGTGTTGCTGATCAACCTGCGTCTTTCCGTTGCTAGCATTTTGTTTCAGCTCAGAACGGAAAAGCACTGTCTAATCAATCCCTTCCATGTTACGAGAAGGTACAGCAAACTTGGTATGTACTCCACGCGACACACGAGCTCACCAGGGACAAGTTGATAGAGGTACAAGCGTGATAGTCCGCGGAAATGGCAGGGGATCGTCCATAACCTGGACGATGGTCGGGTCATCTTTGCCAGCGATGATGTGAGCAAGACCTGGCTCTTGAAGAACATGTGCGACTATAAATAGTAGCTGTCTGGAGAATAAACAAAAATTTATATCTCTATTTTTTCCTTGCTATAAAAATAGTGCTACAATTATTCAGTTACGTTCCAACTCGAACTGTGAGGAGCTATATACCAGCTTAGTTCGCGCTATGCTCGAAGAGGCTCCATGTCACGTTAGGATGCTCAATACACATATTGAGAGACTGTAGTGTTCTCAGGAAGCCCTATGTCTTGTCAGCTGGCGATCAGTAAGAGTTCTCAGCCGACGGGTACCCACGTAACGTTCTATTGGCCTTGAATACTCTACGAATGCAGAAAGACCTTTTCAGAGTCTTCCGGTCTCTTTCTTCCATTCTGTCCAAGGACCTCCAGGCGTTATAAAATTTTCGAAGTGGGGCAGGACCGTATTCTCCGTAGAACATATAGAAGAGAACTTTTTTGGACTCTTTGAGATATTAGTGATTGTAAGCATCATGTTTCGCGAACACTTACCAGAGCTCTTCAACTTTCTGGCAGGCACGTATCTGACGGCCTGCGGCCACCAGCTTGGTCTCTCTACATATCGTGGCCTTTTATTTTTTTTCATAATAGAGACCCACTTGCAAAGAAGGTCTCGACAAATTCTCCCATTGAGGCTGTTGAACCCAGCTTGATGGAGCTCTTTTAGTGTGCGAGGGGAACGAAGTGATGATCGTGTTCGCAAGCACACTTGGTGAAATAGCGCTGTTATTGCCTGCTCTGCTGCAGCAACGTATTGATTCCTGGCGCTACTTAGTAGCTCTGAGGGCACGACATCAGTATTTTTTCTGCGAACGCCTGAACTACATACCACTTTCTGGTTTGCTGGCTTCCATAGGTTGTGCAGCTTTCAAATTGGAAATTGCAAGGATTTTGATGGGGTTTGCTGCTGCCGATGTAGCACTTGCAAATGGATTGAGGTTTGAAAGAATACCCGGAATAAATTGCGAGAAATTGGGTTGAAACGTAGCCAGTGGTTCATCAAGACCAATTGTTGCTCCTACTATCGAAAACGCCCTTCACACCATTAATAAGGGCCAAACGTTGTCGCGAATATAGACTCACACGCAATTAATTCTGATAACACCATGGTTAAAAAAGGATATCTAAGGAGTCGGATTAAGGACGTACTTGTTCTCGAAGATTACCCTTGGCCATCCAACAGTTGGGTTTTCGCTTAAGCATCTGGCCACACAGGGTCTTTCCAACAGCGCATGAGACACTCTGGATTTCCAATCGATTCTTCGCTCCGTCAGTTCCACGACGGCACGGCATTCGGGATGTGATCTGTCTATAAGCTTGATCCAGCATGGGGTAATCAAGGTCACCTACATCCAAATCCCGTCGGCAAAGCTGAAATGTTGCCAACAAAGATAGAAAGGAAAGCCATTCAAGTCTGCCTGGGGCCCCAAATGTGTCGGGTTTGCATCGATAACGAGACAGGCCGCATCTTCATCAATATCAGACTGGTCCCAGGAGCAGGCGGTTCCCTCTTTCGTCGTGTTGGGGAGGCTAGGGGGATTTGCTTGCCCGTTTGTGGTCGCTTCAATATCGATGTTTTCTTGCGGCTCTGGCGCTTTGTCGTGGCATGGGAGGAACGGCTTGACACTTTGTCGTTGCTCACGATCAGAGACCAAATGCGAGGATGAAGTCTGGTAGTCCGAAGCCGAGGCGATTGGAACAGTTTGAGGTCTGTGATATTGGTTCTCAATTCTGCAAGCAAGTATTTGTTAGCGGCAGTAAAATAAGGGTGTAGTAAATAGGTGGATGAGTTGATGAAAACTTTTTCATCCCTTTAACTTTTACTTGCCTGTCTCTTGGATCCAAAGCTTGCGAGTGGTCACTGTGCTCCTGCAGGCCCTGACCACAATTTTTCCTGTTAGCATCGCCGAAATTCGTGGTGCTTTGTTCCGTGTTGATCAAGCTCCTTGTAGAAAAATCACTACCCCCAGATTTCGAGGCCAGGTATGTGGGAGAATGGTGGGACTTGGATTTAGGACTGAGATACTCTCCCTGATTCACCCACAGTATCGCAGAGTTGCAATTCATTCCCCTTTCGGAGCATTGGTGACAAGGGTATTTCCCTGATAACCTAGAACTGCACTTTATTTTTCGTTTCCTGCAGAAACTGCAAACTCCCGGAGTAGATCCTAAAGAATCAGAATTGCCTCGAAGCATTTTGCTTGGAGCTTGCGAACCAGGTATCTTGTCATCGGATCTATGTTGTTCTCGAAGTTTCACTTTTGTAGCAACAAAGATCGCACTGTTTCCATCATGTACCTGTTGATTTCCATACAAGGGAATGGATGGTTGCATATGATGATTATTGTGTTGATGAAACGGATCTGTGGGACAGGTAGGGTTGAGAGTTCTGTCGTCACCGAAGTTGCGCGAGTTCATGGGTAGACGTGATGAGGGCTCTGGCATACAAGGAGCAGATATGGGCCAATATTCTAGAAGATTCAGAAATCATCAGTTCTTATCTGCAATCTGAATGCCGGACTCATCATACGCTGCTGTCTCTGGCCCGCCAGGGGCGTTAAATATGGATTCTCGGAGCTCGGTAGAAAAGTCCTATTCAAATGAAATGACGATTCAGGGTATATCGCATAGTTGGGATCATCTGGGTTAAGCATGAATTGAGAGCCCACGCCCGCTGATGGGGGCCAGAAAAGATGGTGAAGCGGAGGTATGGCGGAATGAGGTGGGAAATTGTTAGTCTCCATATCTGAGCGGTAAGTCAGCGTGAATGATTTCATACATGAGATGACGGGGCATTGGTCCGCTTTTAATGCCAATAATGGCTGTGTGACGGGATACGGCTTGACGCACAGGCGCTGCTCCCGCGACTACTCAATGCAACAGAAGCAGTTGCCATTTAAGAGAGACCTCTAAGCCTGCTCTTTTTGGGTACGTCTACTCCTTCCAAGCCAGGGATTCAACATGAAGGTCAGAACTGGTTTTCATTTCCTATTTTTTTGAGTATATAGTTTCCGCATTAATGGCAGCTCTTGCGTTTTTGTTGCGTACAATGACAATCAGGCTGAAATAATAGTGAAGAGGGGCATTAATTTAGACGATTGGGTACTTGGGGCACAGAGATAACTCGTTTGCCTGAAGACCCTGAGAAATATGAAAAATATGAACAAAGCAAAATTGACTCGCAAGTAAAGTAGAGAAAATGCAATATCAGTCAACGTCCGAAGCTAGCAGTAAATGGATAAAAGAACCAATGGTGTTGCCAGCTTTCAACTTTATAAATTGCATGCCGATCAATCACCTTAGCTGCCAGCTCAGGTTTTCCACAGGTCATGGCCCTGAGTGCAGGAAAGAGAAAGTCCATTCCGGGCCTGGTTCTCGCTCGCCACTGATACATCTCATAATTATTCTTAGAATCGACGAGGTAGCCAAAGTCTCCCAAGGCTTTTGTCTGAAGGCCACTTGCTTTGATGCCCTGGATGATGGCTGTTAGGGAAAAATAGTTGCGAACACGATAGAGCTCCTGAGGTTCTGTCAGATCATATAACAATGGGGCAAAGCGTCAGAACTACCTGGGCCAAATGATCAATTTTTGGACAAACGTCAACCTCGGCAACTATGCACTCTTCAACTGCAATGCTGAGGTCGTTCCATCGTGTGTTGAGTATCCGCTGAGCATGATCATTCTTTCCATTTAGGGCATCCACAACGTACTGCGAAAAGAAATGGTGATCTTTTCTCGACAAAGCTTTGGCAAGTTCGAAAGCATCAATCCATTCAATCTGGTCAAAGAATGATGTATTGATATCGAATGCCCCCCAAGTGGCTTCGGGGGACCTGTAGAGCTTGTAAAACCGATTCTCCAATATCTTTAGTCGTTGTAATATATTTCGAGCGGTGTCGGGGGTCTGGAGCAGTCGCTGCAGTGGCTCGATGATCCACTGGAGTCGTTCGTCTAGCTCCGGCTTCACACCTTCCATCTTTCTATCAATTGATGGCACGTGTGGCTTTCTTTGGAGCATAACACGTTGCAAAGCCTTCTCGATCGCAGCAAACAAAAAAGGATCTGCATCTATTTCCTTCAAACTCTGCACGTTGTCAGATGAGTTGTTGAAAAAGAAGCTTAGAGACTCGTCGACTTACCTGTTTCACTTCAACTAAAATTCCGAGATGCTGGAGGTTTCGGATAAACTTGCTGTAAATTTTCACCTCGAGAAAATCGTATTCCCAAAGGAAACCCTCAATCGCTTGTGAGGGTAGTCCATGAGCCCGTCGAACAAACTCTGTGAAAGGAATATGCGAGAATTTGTGAGAACTTTGTTCTGCAAGCTTGGCAGCTATAGTGTCAGAGTGTTCAGCAAGTGACTGAGCCAAGCTCCAATCCCAGTACAGCGAGAATCTAGCACTTTCCTCGTGAGGGGAAAACGGTTGAAGTCCCTTCGTATTGGCGTAATGTTCGTTGTAGAGACCGAAGTGACAGAGCCGACTGATTGATTTTTGGTCCATCTTTCTGAACTCAAGCTGTCGCCAACATGACTCAGCTGCCAGGCGCTTTTGTTTTTGAGGCAAATCTTCGACCAAGGAATCTGCAACTTGCGTGGTTGCCGTACTTGAAAACGAAGAAGCCGAATAGGCGTTTCTCAATACTAAAAGCAAATGATGGTTAACATGCGGTCGATAACAACAAGGTGAAGGAGACAAGCTGCCAGGGCAAAAGCGTACTCTTCTCACGATTGGCAGGCTCAGCGTTGGCGTGCATCCTGTGCATATGGTACATCTACTTTAAGCAAGAACTGGAATTCGATTGTTATATACTAACGCGCAGCCAATTTGTTTCGCGGCAAGAGAGCGACCATCGCTTGCATCAACCCTTGCACGTGCATAATCGACAAAGTACCAGGTTCGTCATCCGTGAATCCACTTGAAGGCCAATCCTCTGGCGGATGAATCCCGGTCGGGTCATGCGGAGCATCGCTGGAGAGGTATTCTTTTATTAACGCTGGGAGTCCGTGTCCTGTAGGTATCGGTCTAGAATCATAGGTACATGTATTTGCTTTTCCATACTGGTCATGATCGGCACCCCTTGTTTTGTGAAATATCTTTTCAATAGAGGATGTCACAATGCCTTGTGGGGCGGTCCAGGTCATCCAATAGACTCGCTCTGCACCGCTGTCGGACCAATAGCATGCCAGGTACATCTCGCTCAAATCCAAGCACTGTTTGTTTTGCGAATACGCATGAAAGTATCGCAGCCCTCAAAATCCTGCATTGGCCATCAATATCTACTTAGCTTCGTTCCTAGGACTAATTTTTGCTTTGTCAGAATGATGTCTTAGCAATAACAGCAGCGGCAACAGCGGTGTTACGTTTGCAATAGATTTTACTTAGGGGCGAATGACAAAACTACGCAGTGCTGCTAGTCCAATTGGTACTACCGTTACGGATGCCCTTATATAAGTTGAATCACTGCTCAAGTAGTCACTCTTTTTTCTCTTCCTCTTATACCTTCTCGGCAGAGAAATATGTCTACCAACGGATTAACTGATCCGATGAGCCTTGCTTCGATGTTGAACACTGATTCTCGCTCTGGGTTCCAACTAGCCGAGCAGCGCACGATGTCTCCTTCTGTTGCCGACTCTCACCCTGGAGATAGAGTAACACCGAATGGACCATCCGCTCCCTCTATGCAAGAAATCCCCCAATTGGGTATCAGTGGACATGGAATCTATAACGCTGGCCGAGCACCCAAACCGAAACACATGTAAACTATTCATCTAGAAGTTAGCATTTCCCAAGCTAACGTGGTCATCCTTGTGATTCTAGAAAACCTCGCCGCGCTTACCAATGTAACTGGATAAACTGCACCGGCGTGTTCTCCCAAAAGGGAAGTTTCAATCGTCATATGGAAACGCAGCATCTCTCACCGCGCTCATTCAAATGCCCTGTGTGTGGAAATTTCTTCCGTCGAAGGGACAATATGACCGCACACTTGTGGGGTCATTCGCGAGAGTCTGGAAAACATACGGATTCCGTTGGGAATCCCGACAAGGCATTTCTCCACCGAACATCAATCGCAAACAAAAGTACAGTAATGAAGAGCTTGCTGCTCTTGACCAAGGATGGGGCGATACTCTCAAGAGCTTTACCCGGCGAATCCCGTGGTGAGAATGTCTCAACGGACTATCTAAAATCGAAACAAGCGATGAATCACCAAGCCCCGAGCCAGGTATTCGACGACCTGATTGCTCAGAGATTTCCCAACCCACGGTAAATCGCAAAAACGAAAAAGAGCAGAACTGCAGTCTAATTTGGTATGAACTCGTTGAACCCCCCCTTTTTCCGTGGCTAATGAAGCACAAGAGTTACGCTTTCGAAGGGCCTCGTACTGCGATTGAAAGTGAAGTAGACACGCAGTCACATGAGCAATCCGAAAGCTGCAGGATGAACTTTACAAGGAGAAGAATAAGCACCAATGTATGTACGGGGGAGCCACTTTTCTAGCAGAGGAAAACTTTTCATTGCCGGGTTTACTGCACCCAGCCAGACCGTTGGTTGACGCTTTTGTGTGAACCTATGCTGTGTCTTTCATGTAAAAAGCGGCTTTGAAAGCCAAGAAGTTTCCTATGGGTAGGGGACGCATCACCGGATATATCCGATGCTCTCCATTCGCGTGATAACGAATTGGTATTTTCTGTCTATATTTTTAGTAACTCGCCACACTATCTAAGTTTTTGTGATGAAATAAGGCCAGACTTCATACTGTACTTTAAGACCACGAAGAAAATTACTTTGGGATGGCTGTGTAAAAATCTTGCCCACTTCCTCCATCTGACCTGCCTGTTCATCGTGTCCAAGGTGTCCCGGGGTTCCAATTTCAAATCTGGGTTGACAAAAAGTTGGGTGTTAGGCCCTCCAAGCCCTAGTAAGTTTCGGATATCTTGGTGGCCTAAAGGAAACACACTGCAAACAAAAAAGCTGACCCACAGCTCATGATTAGAATCTTTTTTCTCTTTGCCCCCACATATTTGACCAGAGGATAGCTATGAGTGTGGGCTTTTCTTCCTCCTATTCTATCAACTTGAGGCGTGGCCGTCTGTTACGTATACAACTGAAGTAGCTTCTATCAAAGCAACGGTGATTCGATAAATATACAAAAAAAGGCTGACGAGATTAGTGACGGTGAAGACGAAGAAGAAACTGCCTTTGACGAGTGGGAATGCGAACATGCTATGGGTTAAACGAATAAATAGTAGGAAATGGTTATCCTAGTCAAGAGTGGCATTTCATTATGGCTAGAGGGCGGAAAAGTAAGATCTGCGGACAGAAAATGCTGGGGGCCGATCCCCCATTGGCCATCAATATCAAACCCACAACCCGATGTTCGCGCTTGGGAGCCAATCTGTCACCTGTTCCTTCTAATTTGCTTGTTTGCTAGGACTAGTTTTTGCTTTGTCAGGATGATGTCTTAGCGATAATAACAGCGGCAACAGAGGTCTTACGTTTGCACTTGAGGATCTCGTCAAGTTGAAAGCATTCGCGGAAATCGGGTCTTCCATATTCATCGTAATTGATCTTCAAGTCGTCACACTCAAGTATCTGTCCCATAGAATTCCTGTAGAATGCTACGAAATTGTTCTGCTCCTCTGACAGAAGGCCTGTGTGGTGCTCGTCCTTTTCATGCTCGCAGTGCTGCAAGACGCGATCAGATGTTGCGAACCCACTCATACACAAGGGGCAAGCATAATGTATCCCAGCAAGCTTGGCGATGTGTCTCAGGATTGCAAATCTTTCTGCGGTATTATGCGGATCCAAACGAGTCTTCATATCAACAACGAAGCATACTTTGAAGCAAGCGCCATATTCCCGCGGGCCGGATTTGTCCAGTTTCAAAGGTAACTTGTCGACTGAAATTCCCTTCCATCCAATAGCGATGCCCAGGCTCTCTCGAAAATCGCCGAAATCTCCTTTTGTGTGCACAGCTCCAAGGCCAGCATGTATGGGATCTGCCAATTGTCCTTTCTTTCCCTTTCCCTCTCCCCTTTTTCGACAATGCTTGAAAAGAGAACTTGCTTCAGAGTACGAAGTACAACAGAGCGGACAAACGTATACTTTCTTTGAATTTTTCAATATATCCTCCAGCAAGGCACACGCTGGCCCTTGTTGGTCCATTCTTTTGGACGGGTAGGGGTTATCGGATTGGTAAATGGGAAAAAATAAAAATGTCACAGACCAGCTTGCTCTACAGAAAGCTTCAGTGATTCTTTAAGTAGCTTACAGGGGTCCTCCCTACTCTTATCTGGGGAAATCACTGGCATGACGTTGCCAGAACCAGAACTAAAAAGGTCCTATACCCGTGTGGTCTCGCCGCAGATTGTCTCCGTGTCAATTTGAAGCTTGCATCCTTCAAGTTCTAATTGGAAGATGAATTCATGCCTATAAATAGTTCCTGCAAAATATCGACTTGTATGTCTGGTATAATCAGCTCCGGAACTAACATAATCTCGACCACTATCCTAAACGACATTGTCCTTGTTTCCAGTCGGCACTAGTGTGTAGCTGCTTTGATTCGACAACCACTGAGCCTGTTGTATGGCCACTGATCATCACTAGATGCAATTTCCACACCTACATATACCGCGTTGGATTCATTCGGAGCACGACGCCTAGAAACAGCGGTGGAGATAAAACGCTGGAAACAAATCATGCCCACAGATCTTCGGATTTTTTTCTGTTATGAATGGCTTTCAAGTTACAATTTCGACGGTGGCCAATAGCTTGACTCTCGCCTGCAAAGAGGTACTAGTTTACATCATGATTTGCTTCCTCGTATATCGATCTTCCAAGGAACTCCACTCTGCAGACGACAATACGTACTTCGCCTGGCGGGCTCGATCTTTTTTCGCAAGTCGGACGATTTGTCCCCTTCCAAGATTTCAAGCGGCTCAATATATACCGTCTCAATGACCCCATTATCCATCTTGGCAAGGAAAATCAGGCACTTTCGAAGGTCTGGGTAAAATTTCACTTCTCCTCCGTACTCTTTCAATATTCCAATACGGGGCGCATTTGCAGGCCTTGTGCCTGAGTTCATGAATCTTTCCATTTAATATTTTGCATCGGGGGTGATCAACGTAGAATAGCTTACTTCTGCAGGGATTGGGTAGCCATTCCAACGAGGTATTTTCGACTGCTAGATTTTATGGGAGATGGGGTGCTTGGTTTGTTTGAATAGACTTGATTTGGCGCTGTTGAAGGATAAGAAAGGCCGATTGGTATGAGTGGGAAATCGATAGTAGGTTTAGAGTCACACAATTACTGTCCTGTTTAAGTAGACAGAACCTTCAATATGCAAGATTATACACTCCCGAATCGTACCAATTTCCTTTATACTAACCCGACCGTCGTCATTGGCTACGGTTCTCGAAGTCTACGGTTGATAGCTTCATGGCTGCCGTTTCTCCCATGAGATCGATCAGTCCGATTTGCGTTTCGAAAGAAGTAATTGATATTCTGTCACTGAATTACTCTAAGGTCGATATTACCATCCACATTACCATCCACATTACCATCCACATTACCATCCACATTACCATCCACATTACCATCGACATTACCATCCACATTACCATCCACATTACCATCCACATTACCATCCACATTACCATCCACATTACCATCCACATTACCATCCATATTGCTCCATATTGCCATCCACACTGCCCGCAGTGAAGGTTTCGGATTTTGCTTAACAGGCGCTCAACTTTGGGATATGCCAAATCTACATCTCGCTCCACGAACTTCAAGTTATGGCTGCCGAATAAATGTTAGATTCGTTCCAAAGTGAAGCCATTGACTAGCAGAGTGAAGCCTCTATGGGTCATGAGATAATCCAGGTTGATTTTGTCAGACTGCTTTCGGCGATAGGTTATTCCGGGCCAGAATTGCCTAATTCCTTGTGTCTTTGAATTTGCCCCTCGGCATACATCCCACTTCTTCAAGTCGTCGGGCACTGTTGCAGGCTACCCGACTTGCTTAGGCTCTCCTTGTGTTATAAATCACGGTCTTCACAATATCGGCTTTGATCTGAAATAGCACACCAAAAATCCTCACTCTGAAGCCCGTGTGCAGAATTCAAACTCGCGAGCATCTTTGCGCAGCTTGCGATCAACAAAAGTAGGCACACATACTCGCGGCTTTCTTTGCTGTGCTGACAACATTTATTCGCAGCTTGACAGAAGTTAGGTGTGCCTTATCTCAAAATTTGGCTATAAATAGGGCTATCAGTTTTACCTCCTGGTAGTCCGATTTCGCCACAATTTTATTGTTCAGATGTCGAATCCCAGCAAAATACCCGTTGGGAGCGATGCCCTCGGTGGAAAAGAGGAGTTTATAGTCGCCCACATTTTTGAAGCCAGCGACGAAGAGCGATGGTTGGAAGGCCGTGGGAAACTGATCATGATTATTCATCCGTCGGACCCAAAAGAAACAATTCCATACGACGATGTTACGAAGAATGCCAAAATTTTGGTCCCTCCTAAGCACAGGGTCAAAGTGATTGGCGCTCATGTTACTTTGACGCCTGTGTTAAGATGACCAAGTAGGTTGCAGATTCATGAGATTTGACAATTGCATTCCTGCCTGTTGTCCAACCCACAAGGTGATAGAGATATCTGCATTCTCATCCCGAGGGATCATTGTCGTCACGCATCCGGTTCTAGGCTCGCCTGCCTGTCTCTCTGTCATCCACAGACGACTAGTTTGCACGGCATCTGGAATGAGCGAGCTCAAGAGGGATATGTGACTGATTGGAGCTCCTGTCAACATATATCGAATTTCTAGGGATGCGTTGGTAAGATAGCGCCTGTACCAATAAAGACTTGAAACTCACGCCTTCCATTGTCCATTATTTGTGCTTGTTCCAGTTCGTCATCGTGCTTGTTTTCAGGTGCCTGTTCAACGATTTCATGTGGAAAATTCGGATCTGCCGCGTCAGCTCCATCCTTGTTTTTCTCGGGAGTAGCGTACCATTCCTAGAAGAAAGTCCTTCCTCGGAAGCTAGTGATCGTAATAACAGACTGTCAAACTCTTTGGAAAGATCCTTGATCTGAGAGTGGAGTGTAGAACGGGTGAGTTTGTTCATATGTGCGATCCTCGCTTGGCCTAAAGCTATAGCACACAGCATGACAAGGACAGGACCGGCGGCGCCATCGTCATCCTCATCATGCTCATTATGCTCAAGCAAACTCTCCAGGAACAGCTTGTATTTCTGGCGTTTGGTGGATTCTTGCAACTCGTCAAGAATTTTGATAGCATCTTGTATTTGCTGAGATTGAGACTTGTCAATTCGCGCGATTCGTTTGAGGTGGTGGTAGCAATCTCTGATTTTCTGCAAAGCCTCGTGTACACTAAGCGGCTTCTGGTTCCGGGCACGTCGGGGCATATTAAGTCGTTGGCTGTACGAATGAGAGTTTGAATGGAAGCGTGGATGGTAGCGTGGATGGTAGGATGAATGACAGTATATATATGATTCTGCACGTGATCCGTGACAGATAGCTTGGTTGGCTCTCGGTGGCCCAAAATACATCTACGCCTACATAAAGTAAAATTAGTACTGTACACGCCTACCAGTTTACGACAAAACTGTTCCTGGGAAGTTCGTCGCCTCTCAGAGTAGTTCACACCCCCGAACAGCTGGCCGCTGCAAGGCGAAGCTCCGATCCTTTGCCGTGGCTCCAAAAACTGTATTTCGAATAACTTTGATCTCCCAATAATTGCCTTTAGAAAAGACTACTTGAGCGTCGGGGTGATGGCCACTCATTGTTGAACGCAAATCGCCCCCATCACGCCGAAAACATCGCCAAGACTCCACCGGGCACAGATGCATGTCGATCAGTACAGTATGCGGACAGCACACTTCAGTTTTTGTGAACTACTAGGATTAGAAAGTGAGGAGTCAAAGCGGTCGGGCCCCTGTCGATGTCTATAAAGCGGGCTCAATGTTCATGAAGCGGATTTGATTTACAATTTGAACAGAAACTTCTCGCTCAACCTGTACGTCACCCAGCTTTTAGTCTGCAAAAATGAGTCTGACACTGACCTTTAACATGGCCAGTAATCGAAAATATAAGTGCTCCCGATACTCCACCATACGGACCCCAGGGACCCCCTCCGCCTTTACCAAATAGCCCGCCAATCCCCCCGACTCCTCAATCTGTACGACGCCCGACTTTGCGAGTGCAGATATGAGTCTTGAACTGACATTAAATGCCTAGTATAGTAATCGAAGAATGAGTGCTCCGCTATACCGACTGCAACAGCCCAGCCCTCCGCCTTTGCCAGATAGGGCCCTCCCAAGAATGCTTACGTCTCGGCTACAGGCCCCCTGCGCTATGATACAATGGCAGAGCGTCGATGGCGATGAAACTATCCGGCGTGGTGACTCCTAGTGTTAGATTAATTCCGATATTGGAGTGTGTGGTCACTGTTGGACTTTTTTGGATAAAGAGGTTCGAGCAAGACTAGTAAATTACCTTGAGTAATGGATATTGGCCGAGTGGGCCTTTAAGTCAATACTTCACAACCTATAGTGCGCACAAAAATTGCGAGCAGTCGTACTCCATATGCCAATTTGAAGGCTGGTCGCAGCCAAGGCTTGGATAGGCAGATTGAATTGCTTTAATACCTCGAGAAGTCCTCCCACAAAACAATCGAACATATGAATTGATGACTTATGCTTGGTGCATTGTTCATTGCCGCGCTATCAATGTGGACACAAAGTGGCGGTACCTGAAGGTAGATAATCAACATATATTGTACATGATCAGGAATCACTCTTCACCAAGCATGACGGTCAATGTGCCGCCTCACCGACAAGGGTGCTATGGGAAATGCGACTTATAGCGCATTGCCCCCTCGACCGAGATGCGGAACTCATGCGGCTCCTAGCGTGTCATCTGTTTGACCAGGGTGTGGTGAGAAATGTGACCGTATGTGTCGCGCCACAGACCAGGGTCCTACCCTGCTGCTTCGACTGAGATCTTGTAAATTCCCAAGTTTTATGTACGTCTCCATCAAAAAGGCAATATATGATTTATAACTTGAGACCCCATGGAATTTCTAAACACACTTTCTGAGTGGTTCCACTTTAGCCAACCTAAACTCTCCCCTGCCAGCGAAATACCTCGACCAAATCCTTCCGGGGAAGTCGGCCATCTCGAAAAGAGGACAATCTACCGGCAGTTTCTCCGCCACTGGCATACAGCACAACACTAGTCAGACTCCACACCTGCGAGCCGGGGTATCTTATCCTTTGAGCCATGGCTCTATAGATTTGGCATCATTGAATCAAATACCACCTCTTCCAGAGGGATCACCAGTCGAAACTATGTAGACAAAATGGCTGCCCAATCCCTGCAGAGTTGAGCATTTTGACATTGTTCATGGCCAATGCACTCTGCTAAGTGGGCAGGCTGATTGAAACCGATTCAGGGGCAAGTGTTAAGTCAACGGAAAATAGCGCACGGCCACAAGAGGTACGATATGGAATGTATCCCGGAAGCCTCCAATTTGACCTTGTTGCAGTTATTCTTGTTTCTTGGAGCGGAGGGGTCGGCATGTGATCTAACTGTGGTCTTTCTCAACTAGGATAGATTCCACATGACCAGCTGGAACGACTTCAAGGCAGTGGAAGAAAGAGGAATGGCGGCGGTTGTAAGGGCCGGCTGGATGTCATCCAAGCTGGAGGGTACATCTCAGTCCGTGCCGACAGGGGACTTGTAACCAGATAAACTTAGAGAAAGTGTAAGAAAGCGAGTACTGTACAGTAGAATTCGAAACCAGATTACCCCTCAGACACGCGCTTTCTCTCAGCGCCCGCCGCGATCGCGCTAAACCGAATTTGGTCGGGCCTGGCCCGCCACCTTTTGGTCAAATGTACATTTGGTAGATCATCAATATTACAGAACATACACTTTCCAGCAAGTCGCCATGCAGTACAGTACGTAAGATCTCATAATTCGCCCGGTCGGGTTAAACAATCATGTATCCATCCATTCTCCCATCCACCCGTAATTCAGTCAGACCCAGCCCCAGGGCTGTTGGCTTCAAGTTGGATCATATCCATCTGCTCCTCACTGAAAGTAGGACTCGGTGGCACAATGTCATCACCGTCGGAATTGGGAACTATAGATCGTGCGTCTTCTGGCTCTCCGCTCAGCCTGTTCAGCGCGCAACCGATCCCGTTTTTGCCGTGCTCGGCCGGCCCTACGTTCCTCTATTGTCTTCGTAACATGCTGACAGTCTTGGCAAACTGACAATGGCTTGCCGTTTTCTGAAGCTCCTGCCCCGAAATCTCGACATCGAAGGCAGATACATACAACACTTCGCCGAGGCGTCACAGCGGTTTCGCAGTCGTGCGCCACAAGGGCAGCCTAACAACGGGAGCGGCAATGGGCCAGGGTAGGCCATGACGAGGCTCTAAGTTCATGTCAGAAAGTGGATCATTCTAGAAGTACATACTCGGATATATAGTTGTCGTATACTGCATATCGCTTTGCGAGGGGTCAGTGTAAATGAATTCTACTACTACTACTACTACTACTACTACTACTACTGTCTGTACAACACGCTGGAAGAGCACCAAATGTTTGTTCCATAGTATGTACGCTTCGAGTCCTTGATGTCTTTGCCAAAACCGGAGAACCGCGTGGATTTAAGGAGCACCCATTTCTGAGCAGCTATGATGTAATGACGGAGGCCGATTAATCAACAAGATGAAGATCTTTGGATGAAAGAATTCCACAGGAAGCAGTAACGTATCCTTTCGTATAAGGTGGCTAGCATTGACCAATAGAATGTCATTGAGTAGATCCACCCTGTTCTCCCTATCTGTCTCAACTCGTCGGACCCCCTCAACTCGTTGGACCTCCCTTCAACTCGTTGGACCTCCCTTCAACTTGTTGGCCGCCCTCAACTTGTTGGACCCCCCCTCAACTTGTTGGACCCCCCTCAACTTGTTGGACCCCTTTCAACTTGTTGGACCCCTTTCAACTTGTTGGACCCCTTTCAACTTGTTGGACCCCTTTCAACTTGTTGGACCCCCTTCAACTTGTTGGCCGCCCTCAACTCGCTGGACCCCCCTCAACTTGTTGGACCCCCTCAACTTGTTGGACCCCTTTCAACTTGTTGGACCCCTTTCAACTTGTTGGACCCCTTTCAACTTGTTGGACCCCCTTCAACTTGTTGGCCGCCCTCAACTCGCTGGACCCCCCTCAACTTGTTGGACCCCCTTCAACTCGCTGGACCCCTTTCAACTTGTTGGACCCCTTTCAACTTGTTGGACCCCTTTCAACTTGTTGGACCCCTTTCAACTTGTGGACCCCTTTCAACTTGTTGGACCCCTTTCAACTTGTTGGACCCCTTTCAACTTGTTGGACCCCCTTCAACTTGTTGGACCCCCTTCAACTTGTTGGCCGCCCTCAACTCGCTGGACCCCCCTCAACTTGTTGGACCCCCTCAACTTGTTGGACCCCTTTCAACTTGTTGGACCCCTTTCAACTTGTTGGACCCCTTTCAACTTGTTGGACCCCTTTCAACTTGTGGACCCCTTTCAACTTGTTGGACCCCTTTCAACTTGTGGACCCCCTTCAACTTGTTGGCCGCCCTCAACTTGTTGGACACCCTTCAACTCGTGGACCCTCCTCAACTCGTGGACCCTCCTCAACTCGTGGACCCTCCTCAACTCGCTGTTCCAATTCTAGGCCTCAAATACCAGGCCCACTGCTTCGGGTAACTGACATGGGCTTCAATATCATAGACCTGTGGGCGTTGGGGTATGATGGGCTGTCATATGACGACCTGGTCAAGCTCGAAAATCAACTGAGATTCGCTTTGGGTTCCGTGCAGGAAGCACGCTCCAAGCTTGATGCTCAAAACGCTGCGGCTCGGTCAAGTGGCAATACCATCGGGAACGAAAGAACCATTCAGCAATCACTCCAAGATACCTCCCGCGCAATAATAGAGCGAGGGTCACTAGCTAGTTGGTTGGAATCACTGACATATAACCAGAGAGCACATCTACAGACCCCGTATGTGAGAGCATTCTTCAAAAATGTGCAGAGTGGTCAGCACAACTTGGAACCAATGACACGCGGCCAATACAAAAGCAATGCCGTGGCCACCATGTTATGGCTGATCTTTGAAATCGTCAGCCTTCCACATGCATGCCTCGTATTATGCAGCTTCTCCAAATCCCGCCTTGTTGAATATTCCTTTGGAGAACTCATCTCAATTGTGGAGTACGTAGCTAAAAACCGAGCCTCTCTATATTGTGAGGCTCTCGAAGTTGGACCTTACTTGCTGTCCAGTAAGTGTTTACCGTCTCTTTATCACGGTGCTGTGGGCTAACGGGTGACCATTTGATCAGATTACCAGGCTTCCACAAAGAAGCGAAAAAGAACTACCACAAATGCAGAACCGCAGCGAAGCCTTGGCTTTGCACAGAGTCCGTCGCTATGTTCGCATCCTGACATGTTCACAATTTCTTCGACATTGGACATAAAGTATCGCTTGAATGTCAACCAGCTAGGCGAAATTGATAGGGATTTCTTAGGCATGATATCGGCTGTCGGTGGCTGCTTTCCAAGTGATTTGTTTGCTCAGGCCCACAACAGTTTGAATTGGGGTCCACATGGCCAGGCGATTTGGCCCGGACCCGGTGTACCTGAAGGGCATGAGAAAACGCTTGATCGTCTAGAAAAGGGCGGATTTATCATACCTTTGCCAAACTATGGGGTAGGCATAGGCACCACGATAATGATCCATCCGGAGGTTCCAAAATTGCTATCTTGCTTCGGCCAAATCTTCTCGCGGAAATGGAAGCGCCTCGCGACGAACGCCGTCCTCCACGCTTATCCCAAGGACCCCCAACTACGACCCATTGAGTACGCTGGCCACATTGAAGGTATTAAACTTGACTAACTTGACTTTAGTTATACGGTGGCAGGCGCGTTGCTTATACCGATACTCAGACGAGCTCTATCAAACCTGCTTGAGTGTAGCCCAGATGGACTAGAAAGACAGACTTTAGAGCTTGCTATCGATGCATGCCTCTCCGCATCAAATTTTGGTGATAAGTCTTGGAAAACAGTCGCGGTTGCATATGCCGAACACATGGCTGATCAGCTTGGTTGTGCCGTCATCAAAGGAAGGGTTCACTTGCGAAAGGCCACGCTGGAAAGGCTATATCCGTCTGGAGCTGGCTCAAATCTGCAAGAAATCAAGATAACAAGGACGAACAACCGTTCGAACGCGGACTTTGGGAAACTGATTCTGTTGCAAGCACGGCTCCAAATCGAAAGAAGGCTGTCTTCAGACGAAATCAATACAACCCTCGACCAATTTCGCGCCTTCAATCCTATATCGGATATAGAGCGGTCGGTTCAACTTGATATAAATTTCCTGAGAGCCAAGATTCTCAGGTATGATGGGAGATTCGGACCTGCTAGGGAAGCCCTTGTGGATTTTGTGCAGGCCGTGAGATATCGGGCGAGTAACTTGATAACCATTCACTACTACGAGACCCTTTGCGAAGCAGGAGATCCTTCTACTGCAATAGTAGCCCTGGAACATGAGTATGGGGAGCTCCTGAAGAAGGAAAATGGCCAAGCAGGGTATGGTAGACGGCTGAGGCTGGCATTGGCAGGTACATATTTGATGAAGGTTCTCTTGGATCGGTCCATCGACAACGACTTGCTGGAGAAAGCCGAAAGGCTTTTCAAGAGTGTCCAATGGACGGCGGAACCAAGCATGGTTACAAAGCATAATATCTACGTCACGAAGGCTAGCCTCGGCATGGTTCACCTTATCAGGTCTGAGTGGGAGGAGTCGTTGAATTACTGGGATGAAGCTCTTGACGCGGCAAACACCTGTTTCCCAGATATAGGTCACGCGGAGATGGTCACTCAGTACGCCCAATGCGAGATATTGCATAGGATTGGTCGATATTCAGAAGCCCAGGCCAAAGGGGTTGCAGCGCAAGAGATCTTCCCAAAAATGCGGCCGGGAATATTATTTCCTGGGCCAAGGAACTGCCTGGCTCGATAAACTTGACGAGCTTGCGAAAAGAAGTGGAAGGCCTGCTATTGCAGGGCGAGACTGAAATGGACTATGACGCTTTTACCTACAGCGAGTGTTGCAAGATCTAGAGTGTTAAACATAGCGCTATTATAAGAATGATCAAGTTCATCCATCTTCAGTTGACTCCTCGATGACAGGAGGTAAGCAGATTCTAAATAGACTTGTTCTTGACTATCTCGAGGGCAGCTTCTACCAAGTATAGGCTTCCTGTCACCAAGATGGGTCCTCCCATAGCAGTTTTCTTGGCGCATTCAATCGCATCTGTGACACTAGTGGCGTTATGAATGGTAACGGGGGACCAGTTTGCCCTCCAGAACTGGGCAAAACTTTCCATTAATTCGCTGGGGGTGGCGAAATGTTCGTCGTATTCAATCCGCTCGACCAGAATGACATGCTCAATGTGTGACCCTAGAGACCTCACAAGCGTTTCTAGTATGTTTTCCCAGGAGCGCGTTCGCTTCTTTGAGAAATGAGCGAACATAAGAACTGGGACAGAGCTGGTGGTATTCGTTTGTTAGATTACTCGCTAGCGGGGGCAAAGGGAACTTACCTAGGGCCTGCAACCCGCTCATACCACTTTGCGACTACTTGCATACTTGTCTCGTTGTGTGCTCCGTCCATGTACCAAGTGCAGCCACCGTAATGTTGAATATCGAAACGTGCGGGCCACTGGCACTCTTCAACACCAGCCAGAACGTCTCGCCCGTCTAGGGATTGGTGGAGAAACTCATGAGCAATTTTCGCAGCCAGGGCGCAGTTTTCTCGCTGTTCAAGTGGTATTTCCTCAATCTGATCGGTTTCGAGAAACTCAAGCAGAACATCCTTAATACTTATGAATTGAAGTGGCGCCCCAATTTCTGCAGCCCTGCGTTCAATCTCACCTTCAGCCTCCTGATCCTGCGGAACCGAAAGCGCGAGAACTTGGTCTCTGAAGATTCCACTTTTATGCCATGCAATATGCTGTAGATTTTCCCCCAGATTTTCGACATGGTCCATCCCAATTTTTGTGATGGCGGTGATGGCAGGACGCTCAACGAAATTTGTCGCGTCGAACTGGCCACCGTGATGGGCCTCGCAGATAACAACGTTGACGCCTTCTTCAATGAACGTGTGGAACGCTACGATGGCCAACATCTGGAGAAATCCAGGGCGCTTGGTACCGATTGGCAGCGTAGTGGAATTGAGAGAAAGACCCTTGTACACCTCAAAGAACCGCTTTGCGAAGAGATCATCCGGTAGTGGATTCGAATCGATCCGGATTCTATTTCGTGGCCACAGACTTGGCGACGTGTACAGACCGATCTTCCGCCTAATTCCATTCCTGACTGCATGCCTTCGCAAGAAGCAGTCCACATAGGCACATGTGCTGCCTTTGCCTTTTGTCCCGGCGACATGAATAACGTTCAAGCGATTGATGTGCTCGGGCTAGTGTCTGTTAGTAACTTTTTCTAAAAGGAAAAAGCCAGATATGGCGAGTACCTCATGCCCAAGAGTTAGTAGCCAGCTACTCATACCAAGGAGAGGCTCGTTTCCTCTCAAACTAAGAGCATTTGGAGCCCTTGGGGCGCTCGGCGACAATGACGGCGTCGCCGGGGAATCGGTAGGGAATGGCCGCCGGCACTGTTGAAGTAGTGAGAGAGCTTCCTAGGCCCGTTAGCTTCGGCACGTCACCCATGACAAATAATCTTACTTGGTATGTCATGTTCGACGTTTGGGTCTGCCCCTGTTGGTAGCGCGATCCCACGCAGACCTAGAAATTGGCTGAGACAGCCAATATTGTGCCCAAGGCGACAATTAGCCTGAGGTCTGTTCCTATAGCCGAGGGGCTTGGCACTATTACGTAATTATGGCAGTACTAGGTACATTACTCCATGTTTAGACCACTTGTTAAGATATGGGGTGATACTGTCTTTTTACCCTGTAAACATGTGACTTTTTTACTATGCATTTTGCTTACTCATTGTGTCTGACCAGATTGTTAAATTCAGACCATTGTTGTATTTAGGTACATGTAGTTAGAGAACTTTACCATCGTGAATTTACCAGTACGTTCGCCGTACACCTGATTTCTGTCACCACTAATAAAAACCTCGCGTCTCAAAAGTAAGGTCTCGAGAAATTGGAAGGAACGGATGATTTCTTGTCAATAGGCATCCTTTATCTAAATTCACCACCGCCTTCCGATCTGACACATTTTAACTGCCCAATATTTTGCGGGGAAGAAAGGCAGAAACTCCTAGATACCAAACTTTACATAACGGCTGATTCGGCTCGGGATGCAAAGCTAGGGCCATATAGTAGATACACTCAGTCTACTTCATTAGCCTTCCAATCTGTAATGATTCTCAGGACTCTAGTGTTTGTTTTACCTAATGTATTACATAATTTTCTCATCGTGGTACAGTAATCAACAAGCGGCCCTCCCTCAAACCAATCCACTAGTAAATAGGATAAAACCCCTTCAAATCACAAATAATAATTGAATATTCCGATTCCCAAACGGGGGCCAACGAGTTTGAGGGAGGACAAGAAATTAAGGGGGGGACAACGAATTGAGGGGGGGCAACGAATTGAGGGGGGGCAACGAATTGAGGGGGGGCAACGAATTGAGGGGGGGGCAACGAATTGAGGGGACAACGAGTTGCGACAGAGAGGGAGAACAGGGTGGATATACTTGAAGTTATCTTATTGGTCAATGCTAGCCGCCTTCTACGAAAGGATACGTTACTACTTCCTGTGGAATTCTTTGTATTCTGAAGCGCGCTGGTTTGATTGGCAACAATTGACAAGGGCTCGCTACGGCCAAGGCACAGGCTCGTGTGGTATGGTATTCGATCATCCTATTGACTATACTCTAGAAAACTCATGAGGACGAAGAGCCAATCTATCGTTGCTTTGTTTGGGTCTCACCGCAAATGTACCTCGCCTTCGCAGCAACCCGGTCTCAAACACCATCCGACCAATTATAATTAGATCACATGATAAGCCATCTAGTGGAAGGTATATAACCCGTCATTTCGATACTTCCTCATCCAGCCCGTTGACCAGCTCAGTTCACCATGGGTATGTGGAGCTGTGATATCGAGGATTGCGACAAGTCGTCTGTTCGCACATATGGAGAATGCATACTTTGCTGTCGTCATCTTTGCGCCGAACATTTGAAGCCTGAGTATCATACATGTCCACTGTGGGAGGTGAGTAAAGAAAATCATATATTATACGAACCATAATAATCTTTTGTTTTACTATCACCAGGATGAAAAAAGCTACGATCCTGCAGCCAATCGAGCGGAACAAGAAGAAATAAACAAACTTCTTGCTAAAATCAATATCACGGCACTCACAGATCGAGCCAGCCATTTACGCCAGGGCGTCAGCTGTTCTATATCGCAGAATCTTCAATATGACCTGTCGACACGGAACTCAGTCATGGGCGGTATGAATTATCATATTGAGATTTCATTTGAGGACGGGGTTTGCTGGTTGGCGCGCGTTCGGAGATTCAATGTTACTTCACCCCCTCTGGAACTGCAAAACTACATCATGCGCAGCGAGGTTGCCACACTCGAGTTTTTGGAAGAAACAAAGATTCCTGCCCCAAAGGTCTTTGATTTCAGCTTGGATGAGGCGAACCCTGTTGGTGTTCGGTACATCCTCATGGAAAAATTGCCTGGGAGATCTCTGTCCTGGTCTGATGCTACCCGAAAGCAACGCTTGAAGGTGATTGATCAGCTTGCTGATATCTATATCGAACTGCATGCCCATCCTTTTCCCATGATGGGCTCTTTGGACAAAATTGGTTCTAACCTTTTTATTGGGCCGTTTGCAAGAGAGTCCCTAGCCGACTTTGGAGAATCTGGATTGAAAATGCTTGGACCATTTTCGTCTTCAGAACAGTATTACAATGCACACCTCGATTTGATTTTGGACTTGATTGTGCGGCAAGAAGCTTATGCAAATCGTCCAATAGACGCCTTTTTGATACACCGTTATCTCCAGGAAAACATTCCGACAATCCTCCCATATGCGAGCCTGGATGACGCGTCGTTCTATTTGAAGCATGCAGATGAGAAAGGGGATCAAATTTTGGTGGACGACCAGTTTCGAATTACAGGCATTATTGACTGGGAGTGGGCGCACACGGGTCCCAAGTTTTCAGTTTTCAATTCTCCCATCGTTCTCCTTCCACTTGCTGAGTTCTACAATGGGAATAATGGCTTAGGTGATGAAGAAATGACTTTTTCCCACTTGCTGGAAAAAAAAGGGCATACCGACCTTGGAGACATAGTCAGGAAGGGGCGGCTTCTTCACCGCCTGCAATTTTGCTGCGGTTATGACCTTCCTGACTGGGATGGATACAAGGACATCTTTATGGGCCTGGTCAGGGCCTTACACAAAGACGGAAACTCGAACAACCTGGATTATGAAACTTGGAAGGCGGAGGCCATCCAGCGGTACAGTGCTGATCGTCGGCTCAAAAAGCTTGCCATTTTGTATGGGTAATCATCTATTGGACCATAGGCACATCCGACTTCATCGATCTCCAACAGTAAGAAGAGCGTAGAGATATCGTATGGGAAACCGATAGAGCGAGGAGAACGCTTGATCATGTACTGTCGCATGAAAGAGGCCATTTGTACCTCAAATGTCAAAAAACCCCTAAGTGACTACTGGTTAAATAGCAAGGGAGCGTTCAGAATTTGCATTATGTTGGCACCTGATGACTACATGCCTGCAAAGAGGCACACATGACCCAATTCAACCCCCTCCCCCCCCTCCCCCGGGCCCTCATCAAGACATGATCGTCTTTGGCTGAGATGACACACACTGATAGTGACCATGTATGGGCTCTAAGGAGACATAGCATATGTACATTAGGACATGTATTGGTGGATTAGTGATAGTTACCTTTGGGTTTAGCCACCGGGCGTTAATAATATTGTGTGTGCGTGTGTCGTCTTTGATGAACCAAGAAAATTTTAGAAGCGGGCCGGCCAACCAAAAGAAGAAGAAATTGCAAACGGGCATGAATTTTTTCAACGGCTGGACTACCTGGTTCTTTTTCTTTAAATACAACATCCTACCATCTTCAACTTTCAGCTGTCACACCTGCTTCAACACTTATTCTACTTGCAGGCTTCAACGCAGCCCCAATTCCAGCACGTTGTGTAACTGCCTAAAAAATGAAATCTCAAACTCCCGTGCAACTATCGATAGCCACGGTCGACCGGGCCTTGTTGATAGGATTTCCGCTAGTTTCGTTGACGGATTTCGCTGTATGGGTATGTGTGAGAACCACCAACGTGAACCAAACAGTATAGAGTGACAGAAGAACATACGGAGATGATCCTTGCAGAATCTCTGTGAAGCCATGGCCCAGGCGTTGCAGCCCTCTTTCACACATTTCATTGCAGGGCTGGGCATATTGGAATATTGGGTGGCTGTTTGGGGGTTCGCTTGATGTATGGTCTTGCGTGATTGTATGTTGGAAGTTGTAAAAGCTTGCGGAGGTCTGAGGTATTAGAAAGCGACACGGGGGAGTCGCAGCCTTTTATACCTCAATGTCTACTTTCCAGGGATCCCCATTGTCCATTAATACGAGGAGGTTGCCTTGTGATGTGGCCAAGACCGTGCGTCTTTGGATTTGCATTAATCAACAAAGTTGCCCTTGATCTCTGACCCTGGTCTAGAGGCGGAGATGGCACTACAGAGCCCAGTATGTAAGACCAAACTCTGAGATCATGTTGGCACAAAAATAGCTATCGTATCACGGCTCTATTGGTCCTGCCGAATGCTGCTTCGAATGTAACACCCAAATCATGCAGGGGCTTTCAATAAAAATTGATCCCCTCAGAGAAGACAATGAGTTGAGGAGGGACAATGAGTTGAGGGGGGACAACAAATTGAGTGGGGACATCGAATTGAGTGGGGACAACGAGTTCAATAGGGATATAACATGATAGGTACTTTGGCTTGGTTAGTGAGATTCCGTCCAGTCGATGCGAGGTATGGACTAAATCCTAGTTGCAGCTTTATTATTATACTACAGTAAAAGCCTGCGCGCCGCGGACATCCCATTACGTTTCCCTGCTTGGACTCTGCAAATTCTCCGGTTTTCTGTCCCCATCAACAACGCAACATATCTCATAGCATGTGATCCCTTGGGCTTTCTCGCCACAATTTTTGAGTGGTTCATCACACAGTAAAATTGCAGTTTGCTCAAGATGGTATGTTTGTTGAATTTTGTATCACACTGATATTGGTCTTATAAACATGAGGGTTTCCATTCCCTCCCTTCTCTCCACTCTCCATTCTCTCCTCGAGCCCTGTTACTTAGCAAATCTCCCCTCGACGCAAAACAGACTTGCCGCAATGTCCTCAACTTCATTCTTTAACATTGGGATTACCGATGTTAATCCAGATTTTAATCTACCCCTTTCTGACGTCCGAGTGGCTGACCTAGGCCGTGCTTTCTTCATTTGTTGGCAGAAATACACCACAGAAGGCATTCCACTGTGAGTCTCACTCTGCTAGCGCCACAGTGTATACACCTGACGAAATTGTAAGAGACGAAGAGACTACCACTGGGGTGGAGTTTGGAGGAAAGTCACTCATTCCCCTAGGTGGTTTCATTCCTGCAATATTGCAAAATCCACTGGTTATCCGTAATATCCAGAATGATCCCCGCATTGGAGGGCTGAAGCTTGTCGTATATGAGTGGGTCATCTATCTCTCTTTTTCATAGGGTTTATGATTGACAGGGTGATTTATCAAGCAGAACCCAGGGTATATCAAAAGGCCCTTCATTTTTGTAAGCACGAAGACTATCCAATTATACATTGGCAACCAGCTAACATTGCAGGGCGTTCTCGATCAGAATGGCAGGTTCGCAGCTCAGTGCTTTCCCTATCTCGAACCATGTATCCCTGCCAGGACGCGTGCGGGATAATATTCTTGCACATTATGCTCTACGCAACCTGTGTTAGCGAGGATATTGATTTTCTTCGGTGTTGTATAGCTTTCCTCGGTCTTAACGTTGCCAATAAACAACAATCTGAAATTATACATTTTAACGCCTTCCCCACAAGCGTACAGCCTCCACAGAACCCTTCGATGAAACAGGTTTTAATAATTTTGATTCCAGTAACCTCGCCTTGCGCCTTGAAGACTTCTAGATAGGCCTCTGCGCGGTTTTCTCGGCCATCGTTGGCGACAGGACAATAACCACCAACGTGGCGCCTTCTCAAGGGAGATCTAACAGGCCACAGATTAATAGATGCGCCACGTAATTTGCTGCCCGTATCCACGAATAGCTACATCCATAGGCCTAGGCAATCTGGAAGACTGGAAGATACTGGAAAATACATTCAATGCTATGCATTCTCCGATATCCAAACTACATACATGTAGACGGAAATATGTTCTTGGTTGAACAAATTCGGTCTTCTCTCTACTAATTTAAACCCCGTCATACCTCATCGTTCAAAACACCTCCTCAAAAAGCCCCAAGGCTTTTGCCAACCGGGACAAGGCACCTTTCTCTGGAACATTGCAAATGCCGTCCCAAAATGGCCTTGAGAGCCTTTCGTGAGTGGTAGACTTCCCAGTGCACCAAGCATGCCATTGGCCCAAATGAAACTTTAATGCTCTTTAGGGTCCAACTCGACGCCGAATCTTTTGCCGCAGAAAGATCCACATGTCGGTTTGACTGAAAGCAGGAAGTGAACTTGGGCAATCCATCGTTTGCTATCCGACGTACAAAAAACATCAACCTCGGGCACTTCGTCGTGTATAACCAAAACTTCTAGCTTGATCTCTTCCCAGAACTCGCGGATCAAAGCCTTCAGTACTGTTTCCTTTGGATCACATTTTCCACCAAATGCTTCGTAAAGATTTGGCGACGAGTCATTCTCGGCGCGTTTCCCTAAAAGCACCCGTACTTTCCCTCTGTTCCAGTCGCAAACTTAGGCCCTCACACTAATGCCGGTTACTTGATTAAGGTTTTGCGGACCGTCAAGCCCCTTTTGAAAATCTTCAAAACACTGGTCCCATGAAACATTATATCTTTGATGACTGTCTGCGACTCGACAGGTCCCGTATGGGGTTTCGAGATGAAATAAACCGTTGGCCATATTGATAAACCGCCCGAAGAATGATCTAGGCCACTAGATACTCAAAGTTAGAATTATCTGCCAACATGTTTAGTGGAGGGCAAAGTGACAAACCTTGAGCATACAGTTTGAGCCAAAGTAATCTGTGGGAGGGATTTTGTAAGCTGGATTGACAAAAGGTTGGAAATTCGACCCTTTATGCCCTAGTAGGTTCAGCTATCTTGGTGAATTAAGAAAATCATATTACGATAAAATAAAACGACTCACAGCCCAGAGTTAGCTGGCCAGAACCGCTCTCTATGTTTTTCAGAACCGCAATTCCCTTATAACCCACATCTATCATTGGTCATACTAGCTGCCACATACAGTCTCAGGGTCAACAAATAAAAAGGAAGCTCCTGTATTGCATGTAAACTTACTGTACGGTATTATTGCCGTTATTCACCCCGAACGTAGGCTACAGATTTCTATCATGGCTTAACTCATTAGCATTCAAGCTTTCAGTAGGCTCGCCGTTCATGAGCCACAAATCTAGTTTCGCTGCGCAGGCACCTAGGATTGGCCGGTTATAGCAGCTTCAGATGAGAAGCTCTCCAGGGCCATCTGTATGTGACGCGCCCATCTCCGCCAACAAATTGGGAGGCGTACAGCAAATTCCCGTAATTGTTGATCCTTCGTCGTTTGGTCCATTCATAGGGCGTAGAATTCGCAGGGATCCTGCAAAAACGGCGACTTTTGGTTTCTCCATGCGGTGAACCCGAAGAAGGCCAAAGCGCTTTGAAACTTGGTCTGTCCATTTCGATGCCTAAAGTGTAGCAAGCACTTCTTCTGATGAGAGCTGTTTGCTTTAATACATATATGCAATTGTGAAGAGACAGTATTCAAGTATGTTCACGGCCTTAATAAGGGCGGCAACCGACAGTAAGGCATATTTCTTGACTAGCTCATTTTCAGGCAGCGCGTTACGCACCGAGTAACCGATTGGGTACGGGCGCTAATATGTGATGATCATTTAAGTCACATGCGCAGAAGACAGGTCAAAATACGAAATCAGCCTTTTCTTACATGAACTTAAAAAGAGTTCGCTTTTCTCCTCTTTTCTCCTCATTCATGAACACAAGGGCCCTCTTTCCTATGGAGTGGAAGACAACGGTGTTTCTTTCTTCGGGCTATGACCAAACCCGCCATGATCCTCTGGACCATTATGATGTTGGCAGTGATTATCAATTTTGGATCATTATCCCACAGCCAGACACCGAGCTATCCTAGCGAGGTAAGGATGGACCCCACAGATTGCATCTGCAACCTACAGTACTTACAATTATACAGGCTTCCGATCGGATTTCGAATGCTTCAAGTCCCTTGGTCTCGTTGAGTCTGTGTCCCAGTCAAATGACTCTACCCAGTTGCTCAATAAACACATCTAACATGTCTTCTTGCACTGATCTTGGCTACGTCGAGAATATACATTTGAGTTATGTGAAAAATAGTGGAAAACTAGCGAAGTATTACCTGTTTAGCGCTAGGACCCAAAGTCACCCCAAGCCGCCAATGCTCTCAGTATACTGAGGGCGAAGAGTCTCATTTCCACTGAAAGGAGCCTTTCAGAACAAACAAGTACAGTATGCCGTAGGATATTAACATTATGTTCCAATATGGCGGTGTATACCGCAGTCTCATTGTGCTCCATCTTGACGAACGGCAATCGAAGAAGACTCAAGATGAATGGGTCCGCCAACTTGATGAAGGTCTCTCACGGGGCTATAAAGGCTAACCTAGTGTGAAATCATTACGTGTGGAAGGGTGTGGTGTCGGACACCTTACCCCTGTCAAAGCGAACCGAATCAGCTGCCAAGGCTCAGCTTATCCGTATTTGTTGTGCTCCTGGGAGGATTAGCTCTGTGATCAACCGCGAGCTAGTCTTGGGTTATGTATGTTATGTCAAATTCTCTGCCAGACACCACATGCAAAAGAAACATTTGGTGGTCTTCAATTAATGAAATCACGGACTGGCTTTCCGGGCACACTGGTGCATATTACTTTGATGAGGTCAGATGCCAAGAGGAGTCATGCTGGTTAGTTTGTAACAAGAACGAAAATTTGGCACGTCTGTCATTGGTCTGTACTGTACTAGCCGCAAAGATGTGGCCCAAAACCCCTGTACAACCGCATATTCCTTTGCTACCGTATGGCCCAGTTTACGCGAGCTCAAAATAAATGATCGTAATTCAATGTGCTCGGGTAAATGCGGGGTCTGTCTCTATCTCGTTTTCGTTCGTTTGTCTTCCGAGGCAACATCATTATGCGGTGATGGTAGACATTGCTGCAGCAGTCCCACGTTGATCCACGTCCCTACTTTCGTCATCTCACATTTGCGTCATTGCATCACTACTCGACTCATGGGAAAACAAATACCGGCAAATCTTTGGACTATATATATATCTGGGCTCAGGATGTGACTTTTAACATAATGGAGCTGCGAAAGTAATCAATCATGGAAACATTTATCTCTGGACAAGACTAATTCGAATCATTGGTGCAGTGAAATTTCGGGCAACACGGAATTAGTAGTATCGTGGGTTTTTTGTGATCTCCCTTTGAAGATATTCATCCGCACATTGTGTTACTGTTCGGTTCCTGACATCCCTGACATTCAAGTCTGCTCCTTGGCTAAGAAGATAATGAATGACATCGATCTTGCGGAGGAATACTGCCTTGTGGAGAGGAGTTTCTCCCATAAAAAAGTTCATATTCCAGGAAGGCTGGTGATCTCGATACATGATGGCGTTGATTGGAGCGCCCCGAGCAATGAGGAGCTTCAGGACAGCTACCGTATCGGACTCGCGAGCGACTGCATGGTGTAAAACCTGCCCTTTTGTGACGTCGCCACCACGACTTAGCAGAAGATTGACGATTGGCAAAGAGGCGTGTTCGACTGCGTGAGAGAGCGGCGTGAAATCGATGTCACATCGACGATTTGGGTCGGCCCCATGTTCAAGAAGCCAAGTTGTCATTTCGAGATTGTCGAGGGCATTACTGGCAAGAAATTGGGCGTCACTTGGATGCAAATCTAGACACGGGCAGTTCGACTCACCTGAGAATCGGAGGATGCATTGGGCCCATGGGCTGGTTGATATCCCATCCATTTTCTAGGAAGCTTCCCAAGATTCCCTTCGCATGCGCCTTGGTAGCTTCATAGACATATACTGGTAGTATAGGTAGTCCGTGCCGGAGCAGCTCTTTCACAAAACACGTTCTTCCTGTCTTGATAACTTGAACCATTATCCCTGACAGATCAAATATGGTGGAGTGATGGGGGCTTAAACCGATGAAGCTGCTATCCAAAGTCTTTTTAAATCTTTGAAAGTCGCCTTGAGAACAAAACTGTCTCAATTCCTCGAGAATTTGAACGGGTGTAAGTGGAGGAGGCGGGGGAGTTTGACTCTCAGCTATTGGGTAATTTTCACTGGCAGAATAGGCAATCATCGTGGGGATTGAGCAAATAAAATTTAAGGCTATCAAGATGATAATGGTTTGGTATATGGGAAAGAAGGGGTAATCTACGGAGAGGAGAGACGACTCCCCCATCTGCACACCGCTTTACTTCATCACCTGCTACCGGCCAGCCAACCATCGCCAAGGGACACAGGCCGCGACTCCACATCTAACTAGTAAAGCGTCAAGCTGGAAATCATACGCTTCAGCACGCCACCTTGGATGGGGGCGCAAAGTACCTGCGACGGCAGGTGAGCATTTCATTTCGAACCCCCATTTAATCACCCTCGGAAATGTTTATACATGTAATCAAAAATGTGAGAATATGGATAAGCTTTTCATATTAAGAACGAATCCTCGCAACATTTGTCCAATTCAATCCATTCTATATTTACGAGGTATTGGCACCTCAAAAGAACCGAGATGATATTTGGATTTTGAGACTTCTCGATGATGAGGGGCCCTCTAATAGATACATACGGTAGCCCCTTGGGCTCTTTTTGTTCCCATAGGTATTTGCCAAACGATGTCAATTCACTATCCGGTCCTGTACATATATTTTCGGTTGGGAATATTCGGGCTTTTTAATGATCATCACTACCCCATTATCGCGAGTTGATGGATTTGTTGGTACAATGTAAGATATTGCGCGTGGTTGGAGTTGTACTTGACTCAATGTTCCCATCATGATAGCCAGCTGATCCGGTAAGGCTACCGAGCCTCGAAATTCTGCACAGATAACCACTGTCTCAGCAGAAGGAAAAAAGGCTCTTTCTTTTTCCTGGTAAAGGGCGACAACTCGATTCATGGTAGATTGGACATTGGCGTCACCAGCAAAGGGGTTCTGTGTTGATACTGGCAGTGGCGCAATGTGGGCGAGTATCACACCGTGAGGCGATGCAATGACAACCGCAGAACATGAGCCAAGACCGGCGGTCGCGAGAGCAGCCTTCTGTCTGAAATCAAGGAACTGGATGCCGCCCATTGGGACAGTTTGAACAGCACCAGCCCGTTGCCATAACTCGAAGTTTCCGGGTTCGAATGTAGACATTATGATTCCAGGGTTGATTTGATATGAGGAGAGTGGCTTAGATTGCCGGTCTGAAAATCAATCTGTAAAGAGCGCTGTAGTGTGCAAAAACCAGAGACTGGTAAGCTATGATGGCAGGGAGAGGGAATGGATATGGTTGAATTTTCAAATCAAAGGAGGGGGCTGGCTCTACTTAACTAGTTAGTGCATCTCTTTGTTCTTAAATGAGGCCTGGTCTATCAGGTAGAAGCCCAATGCAAAATTACAAGTCTGGACGACTACCTAGACGTATCTGTATTAATTGTGTTTGATACATAGCCAGACAAACTTACTATATTTGCTTTGAACATCCCCGGGAGGAACATAAGTGGGCCTGCGCAGGCCAACAGCTGAGTAGTCTAATTATAAGATCAAATTACTACCGCAGGGCGCCATTAACTGTCACATGCTCTAGAAAACGCTTTGGCCCTCAAAGGGTGCATAGCTAAGCGCCGACATGGATCAATCATCCTTTTGAGGGAGACTGATCATTCAGATCCATACATGTAAATACGCTTTTTCTTCGTAGGTGGGTAATCGCAAACATTAGGCTCAACGCAATTTCTGAAACTTGAGTACGGCTTACGGCTGAATGACGTCCAGCAAATCCTGTCCCGCTTGTTTCTATCTTACCCACGAAGCGCGCAATCTCAAATCTGGCTATTTGTATTTTTAGCACAATGTTCGCATAATTTTCGCACAATTGGCGATGGTCAAGGATTTTCCATACTTATGTTTCTGCGGCAGAAAGGTGGAGCTTGGGATTCTCATTTGAGGAATTCACTTCTAATGAGAAGGGCAAAGGTCCTCCCAGGAACAGGTCGGTAGGCAGTGCCAAAAAGGGCGGCGCAGTCCCCGTCAACAACTTTAGTCATTAGTATTTCTTAATTAGATTTCCGGTGTATACTTAAAGAGTCAGCTCATGAGCCATCCACACGAAAACACGCAAAGGATCACAACCTCCCATTGGTTCTCAGGTTCGTGCGTTACATCTTAACAAATTATCCCCTGATAGAGCCGCTTCAACGTCGCTGCGTTGCCGGTCCAGTCAATGGCTTTATGAAAACCAAAATTGGACGGTTTACAGGCAATTAGAATTTGTAAATACGTTTCAGCATCTATCTCATTAGATAAATATCATGCGCAATCTCCCGCTGACCTTTGTATACTCGACTACGCCTATAGGACTGGTTGGGTAGTCGAGAACCGCGGTGACCAAGGGGTCGCCGTCATTTACCACGCCGACTTTTGTGTTAGGAGTTTGGGAGCATTGGAGGGTCACGCCTACGTATCTCTGTCGAGGGTAAATGCGGACATACTACACACTAGGGAATGGCTGTTGTGGTCGAGAGTAAGATTTAATCATGATTGGAGGGCGGAAAAGTAAAATTTGCGCTTAGAAGGCCGGTAATTAAAAAGGGTTATTAGCCAGATTGCATGGGCGAAAGAGGGGAGGGATGATTCGACGCGTTGAGTAACCTGGGCAATTAATTTCTATGCATGGTTATCTCTTGAAAGTTATCCAATCGGTCTGGCCTCGCAATCTGATTTATTTGGTCCTAATGACAGATATCTTAAAAAATTGTGATGGTGTGCAAAACAAGTAACTACAAACAACTGTTTACTTCAAACCTCGGCTAAGCAGTTTCTTCATTCATCGGATCTACACCCCGTTCTCCCTGCCATCACTTTAATTGCCTCTTCATTTCTATAGTTCAGTTCTCTCAACTAGTTGCTATCTACAATTAAACTTCCAAGTTATGATCAGCTTGTTCTAGCTGAACATTACAAGATATAATCATGAAGAGATCTAAACAATGCAAAAAATTCGCACATTTTTTTTTTGAATGGTGTTACCCGAACTATCAGAAGTGATGCCTTCAATGATCTGTTCGTTTCGATAAGAAATGGCCGTCAATAAAAAAAAAAACAATTTGCGGGGCAGATGGCATCCGGCGGACGCGGCCATGTTTACCTACGCGTGAGTCACGCGGCGTGACTCACATGTGCATATGCTATATCACGTGACCTGGTATTTGACTTTATGTGAACCCCTGCGCTTGCCGGGGCTAAACGGACAATGGAGGCCTCAGGCATCACTTGCTACGATGGACAGGATGGACCACTAAGCGAAGGCCTTGGCATTTATTATGTAATTACTGCTCATATACACCGTGCCTTGGGCATCCAATAAGAAAAACCATCTGGTCCCCTTAGTATCTCTTTAGTCGCGAGCTTTCTGGTTCCCGGCCTCGGTCTATCAGCACTAACATGACTCTTATTGAGACTGGGAAAGACTGGTCCCTACTCTGCCATAAGTGGGCCAGTTGATCACCGACATTTCACCACCGTAAAGATGGCACTGGACTTTAGTTTGCTGACCCCTCCTTGATCTTACTATCTTGGGAAACATTTCTTTGTTTTTCGAACGCCAAAGGGTGGGGTAAATCGTACGAGCAGAGTGCCTAGGCTGGTTTGGTTAAACGAGTCAAATTGGTAGAATACACAGTGATAAAATCAGATAAACAAAAACACAAAAGCATGGCCAGCTACTGCCCTGGCCAAGGATGTGGCTGGGAAGTCGGAAACTCGAATTTTTGGTAGGGTAGTGCGGGGCATGTAAAGTCAAGTAAACTATTGATACTTCAATGACACAATTAATTCATGGCAGGGAGTGTATGTAGATTCGACGAAATGAAAGATCTGCTCAACCGATGTTTGAAGTAAACAGTTGTTTGTATTTACTCAATTTACACCCTAAATAGTATGTATAGCATCTCAACTAAGACAAGATATATCGAATTGTCAGGCCTGACCGGTGGTGAAATATTTGTTTGTCTATTTATCCTTTTCGGAAAAAAGCTGTGTCCACATTCTACCTGCCTCATGACACATTAAGACGCTCTGCCACCACTGTCCCTGTTCGATAAAGTCGTGGCAGCAAAGCGTAAGTTATATAAGCGTTTGAAACTGTGTCTGCTTTCATTTGTCTTCGGACAGTCTGAGAATTTCCTGTAACTGACGATCCTCTCGATAGCGTTCTAAGGCGTCCGCTTTCCAGGTTTCCCAGTTTGAATCCCCTTCGATGCCCAATATCTTGAGCAGCCCGAAAAAAAGCCCAATGAACCCGTCCCAATCGTCAAGGTCATATCCACAACAAAATTGGATTCGATGAAGAAGCCGCCCATTTCTGACTATCTCCCCAAGATCTGGATGTCCTTTCTCTTCCAAGCACTCGGCAAAATAAACTTCATCTTTTCCAATATAATCAGTCCCCTCGTAAAAATCGGCAACCGGAAGAAGCACAATGGGCGAATTGAAAGCTGCTGATTTTGAATCTGTCTGCGCCCATTCCCAGTCAATAATGCCAGTTATGTTGAATTCATTGTCAACGAGTATCTGGTCCCCCTTTTCGTCCGCATGTTTCAAGTAGAACATCCCATCGTCGAGATGATTTTTTGAGAAGATTCTGGGGACGATTTCTAAGAGGAAACGGTGTATCAGGAAAGCATCGACGGGGCGGTTGACGTAGGACTCTTGTCGTGTTATCAAATCCAATATCAATCGAATGTGTGCGTTGAAATATTCTTCTGAAGACGTATAAGGCCCAAGCATTCTCATATGCAGGTCTTCAAAGTCAGCCAAAGACTCTCGTGCAATGGGTCCAATATGAGAACAGTTTTGCTGATTGAAAGAACCCATCACCGGGAAGGGAAAACCCTTCAATTCAATGTAGATATCCGCAAGTTGACTAGTAACTTTTTGCCTCTGGTTTGGGGTAGCTAGAGACCATCGCAAGGACTTCCCAGGCAACTTCTCCATAAGAATATAACCAACACCGACAGGGTTTGATTCGTCCGGATTGAAGTCAAAAACTGTAGGAACAGGAACTTTTGTTTTGCTCAAGAACTGCAATGTTGAGACTTCACTGCCCAGGATGTAGTCCCGCAGCTCTGGGGGTGGGGAAGTAGCGTTGAATCTTCGGATGCGCGCGAGCCAGCTGATTCCATCTTCGAATAAAATCTCGATATGATAATTCATGCCTCCCATGACTGAGCTGCGCAAAGCTCTATCGAATCGTAGACCCTGGGCTACGGAGCACGCAAGACCATTGCGGAGACTGCTAGCGCGCTGAGTGAGCGCTACTATGTCGATTTTTTCAATTAGAGTGGTGATTTCTTTCTTTTCGGCCTCTTGAGCAGCAGGGCTGTAATGATGATCATCCTGTTCAGACCGAAGGAATCAGCAGCTGCTTCAATTGTAGAATTTGATTGACAAACCTCCCATTTTGGGCATGTATGATACTCTGGCCCCAGATGTTTCATGCAAAAATGGTGGTTACAAAGGACACAGTCCCCATACGTGCGAACAGAAGGTTTGTCGCAGCCTTCGCAATCACAATTCCAAATTGCCATTGTTAGAAATTGAATGGCGGTATTTTGAAACAGCAAAAGAGAGGAATGCACCGTGCTAAATAATATGTAAACTTACAAAGACCCTATCTGATTGACACGTGTCCTTTACTGACGCAATGACCATCATCATCTACCGCACAGACCTTGAAGCTGTCAACTTTGTCACAATCAGTGAATGGTCTATGACTCTCGAGGAGCGTCAGCTTTAGTCTTGGGCCTCGTACTTATCAAATATGATATCGAAACACTTTCAACCGCGGCGCTAGGCTACCAGACTTCATAGGCCGGTGTCCCGCTTGGCAATGTGACTGATGCAGGAGCATCACCAGGCCAGCTTGATGTATCGAATGCATCAGCGGACAGCATTGCATTCGTGTTGGTAGACTGGACCTTAAATAGGAGGTTCTTCCCCGGACTTGCTCGAGGATATTGACAAGAAACCTTCAACTCTATTGCTTCCTCGCTGCATTTCTACTACTTTCCACTCTACTTTTTACAGCAACCGCTCCATCATCAACAATTTGAAGTCCCTACTTCCACCTACTCAAGATGCCAAGCCCTGCCATCAGGTGTGTTAAGCAAGGCTGTGAAAATTGGGCTGAGAGTGGATCGAAGTTCTGCAGTGTCCATAGTATGCTACATTTGTCTCGATACACCTGGAACAATTCACTGATTTTACAATAGAGTAAACGTCAAAGCAGAGACGTTGAGCGTGGGACTCCACGTACTTCGAGCAGCATCTTGGGGCTTGTGCTGAAACCGAGCTACGGGCAGTGAGAAATGTGTATGCGCATGGTTTTGGGAAAGGGCTCTGTGTCCCTGGGGCTTGGATTATGTAGTTCAGCTCTGCAGAAAGTCGGGGTGGATGGCGAAGGTGGCGCTGGATCAATGCCATGAATGAAATTCAGGATCGAAATTGAGGCATTTGACGAATTTCCCGTCTAACCCGACACCGTCTTTTTATTTCTGTCTGGCCTCGTTTTCTCTCAATTATTCCTGGCTTTGCCTCTTCTCTGCCTGCAGGAAGAGGCTTTGTAGTCTAGGTAAATGATGTCGGCCATCAACCCTTATTTCCGGATTTGAACCACGTGACCGTCAACATATTTTTTTTTACACCGATTGATTTATAAGCATAGGTCAGGTAACTGAGTCTTCTGATGGATCATCACGGCAAGTTTTAGTGACTATAACCGCATATCCTACTTGCGACGTCTGAGCCCCGCAAATCTTAGCCATTCCTACATACCCAAAGTGCTGATAACAAAAGTTACCATCGGATTCGATCAAGAAACAGGGTAAGCCAGCACCCCTTCATTGGTGCGATATGCGCTGGTCGAAGCGAGTGCAGCTGTAATGCAGAGATGCGATGATGAATGGTCGCTACCGAGCACTCCATATATGATCTACCCTAGATATTCTATGTGATACGTAACGCAGCTATACAATGCATAATGGCTAGACACATAGCGGCTACATTCACTAGACTATCGCTCAATGTTTCCAACCTCGCAACTCCTGCACTGCCCTGTTTATTTCTCTCGTAAACCTTGTCTCGGACAGCGCTTTATCAAACCCATCACGGGATATACATTTTCGTTTGCGATTTGGTGAGATTGCTCCCAGAATCGGCCGCAAATTAAGGATTTCAGCCCTTTCAAAGTCAAAAAAGACAACCTTGTTGCTTTCTGGATTGTAGAGCCAATTCCGCGGCGCCGGGTCTTTGTGGACAACATTAAGGCGGTGCATCTGTGAGAGCGACTCTTTTATCTTGGCTATTAAGGAGTCTTGCCTCATTTCCCTGAGTGCCAAATCGAGAGGCTGCCCACCCGGACTCAAAAGCATCATGTGCTTGAGATATGCGATACCGTCGTAGCTGTACGGATGAGCCAAGTCGATGCTTCCGAGGTAGAGAGGAATGTATAAACCCTGGATTGAACGAAGTCTGGCGTATACAGCAGCTTCGTGCCGAAATTGTTCCACAAATTCCGGTACGGTGCATTTTGCAGGCACAGTATATCCGTGCGATGACAGTGTGACTTTCAAAAGAGCACCCCGGGAACCGTGTATACCCAGTACTTCGCAATCTGCATTAACGGTCTCAGATAATTGACGCTGCAACCGTTTGACGAAAACTCTTGCATTGATGACATGGCGCGTTTTTCCATGATCGAGGACATTGGGGCAAGTCTGATCTAGCTCGCCCCCATTCACCATTCCACGTAGGCATTTTAACGTGCAGTAATAGCGACGGTTCTCTCCCGAGGACCGATCTGTAGTTGCTGCGGGTGCTGAATGAGTCGCTGGTGGCTTTCTTCGTCCGATATCCCGATAGTTCCGTGGATCTCGGCTCGGCGTATCGGGGTCAGGATGATCGTCGTCCGCATCGCGCTGTGTGTCGCTTGATTGGCAAGCACCAAGACTGGAATTGTTTCGCCTGCGACGTAATTGTATCGGCGACATTCGAAGAAATCCATTCGTCCGCGGAGGGCGATATTCGGAACTCGGCACCTCCTCATCCGGGATGCTGTCCAAGATATCCGCGACTACCACTTCCCACTTTGGTAATGAGTTGATTGCGTGATGCCTCCAAGCCTGGTTCCGAGGCCGCAACTTGAGCGCCTGGAGAGTGAAAGCGAGAGATTGCCCCACGGAGGTCAAATGCAGACGATTAGGGCCGCCCAGATGGGGATCCCAGCCAGTGAACTCCCCAACATCTCCTTTCGGAACAGAGAGGTGGTACAAAAGCGTCCCAGGTTCTTCCCCAATCCGCAGGTAGATATCAGCTTCGCCAGTACTCAGCACTCCCATTTCCGTCCCAGCACGAACCATGTAGTCATGTGGCTGCACGAGAAGCCCAGCGATCGCACGACGGAACCGAGCTTTTGAAGGCTCGTCTTCTTTTTGCTCAACCACTTCATCGATGTCCATATCCTCCAACCCTTCATAAATGTGGCCTAGTGTCACCTTGTGCGGGGATTTGTACTCCTTGATATAAGCTGCAACGCGATGGATCGATTCGGACGATTGACTGGGAATGTTGTAGACGCAGAACTGATCGGCACGAGGCCTGTTGTTTCGCGCTGGAGGTGGAGTTCGCGGGCCACGCGTCGCTGCGGTGCTCGATGCACTTTGCTCCCGGGCAGCCAAACGCGGGGAACGCCGTCGTGTCCGACCACGAAGATCAATACTCTGCATTCCCTCCTCGAGTTCCCACTCGGGGCTCAAAGTATTAGAATGATTCTCAAATCGTATCGACCCTCTCAACCCAAACGTTTGTCGCAGTGCTGGATCACCGTAGAGTTCTTCGATTATTTTCGAGACGTGTTCCTCAACAGTTTGGCGAAGGAAATGGTTAAGGTCAAGTTCCGAGCCAACAAACTGCCGCCGAATGCTCTCTCCTGTTTCTTTCAAAGTGTGGAGAGAAGTAAACAGTCTTTTTTCGACAAGCGAAGAATCCATCAGCAATCGCCAAATCTCCTCTTGTTCCTTCGTGAAGGAGTCCCAGGCTTTAAGTTTTCTGGGGCGAAGTTTGTTGGTCGCATTTGCGGGATCTCCACGCGTGGATTGAGTCTTATCCTGCTGAACTTCAAGCCCAAGAAACAGGTGATTATGGAGACCGTCAAGAAATGTGGGAAGGCTGGTTTTAGATGTCTTCTCCTGGTCCTCCCTTCGAAGACGTTGTTCCTCTGCCCGAAGACGTTGTTCCTCTGCGAGATTCTCCCTATCCTCTCTCCGGAGGCGCTGCTCTTCTTCACGAAGTCTTTGCTCTTCTGCAAGAAGGTGCCGTAGCTTGTCAATTTCAGCGGACATTTTGAAATTTCAAGTCTTCTGGTGAGTTCTAAGTTGCGGGTGGCATTGTTTACCTACGCGTCGCTCACGTGCTCACATGTTATCCCACGTGACTTGGTGTTGACTTTAGTCACGAGCTTTCTAGTTCACGCCCTCGTCCAATCAGCACTAACACGATTCTTCATGAAACTGGAAAGACTGGTCCCTACCTTGCCATAAGCGGGCCAATTGATCACTGTCAATCTACCACCCGAAAAATGGCACTGGACTGTAGTTTATTGACTACTCTTGCTCCTATCTTTTACTATTCTGGGAAAAAAATCTTGTTATTTCATATGCCCAAGGGAAGGGTAAATTGCACGAGCAGAGAGACTAATCTGGTTTGGTTAAAGAGACAAATTGTACACAGATAAACTCAGATAAACAAAAACACAAATCGTGGCCAGCTGCTGCCCTGGTCAAGAATGCGGCTGGGAAGTCCAAAAATTGAATTTTTTTGGTAGGAAAATGCGGGGGCTGGTAAAGTAAATTCTAGTGTGCAAAACGAGTAACTACTAACAACTTCTTTACTTCAAACCTTGGCTAAGCAGATTGTTCAATTCATCGAATCTACACCCCACTCCCCCTGCCATCACTTAATTGCCTGTTCATTACTATAATTCTGTTCCCTCAACTAATTTTATACTCGTCTTTCCCGAACTACCAGAAGTGATGCCTTCAACGATCTGTTCGCTTCGATAAGAAAGGGCCGTCAATTAACAAACAATTTGCGGGGCAGATGGCGTCCGGTAGAGCTCAGCCATTGAACAACTACTGACAATTGGTGTTTTGTTGTTTGAGATAATGTGGAAGGTCATGGAAATTTACGTTTTTCACATTTCGCTGAGGAGAGACATCCGTATCACATGATTATTTAACCTCACAGTTTGCGAAGATATCATACTTTTGAAGGGTTTTCGTTTTGTTTTTTGTTTTTTTTTTTGTGAGGCTGGAATAAGGAGTAGAGGGTATATTGTATATCTGGGCTGGTCATAAAAGCAAAGTGTCAATCCATTATATACGATCAAGATTGCCGTCGAAGAAGACCGACGGAGCGATCAATAGTAACAATCTAAACAACAAAATTAAATATCAATTATTTCTGTTTATTACTGAACTTGCCTTTTCGGGCTAGAGACTATGACATAATCTCGTGTAATTCTCTCTTCCATCGTGATGGGCTGCCTGCCCAGGCCCAGCTAAATTGACGGAAGGCAATTGAAGAAATACCATGCATTCAAGAACTATTGCAGTATCTCCGCGCCGTCTGGAATGGGAAAATATCTCCCATTGCGCTTCTTAGATATTTCTGACTCTCTGTAGGACAAGACATTTCACAGAGGATGACACACAATGCGATCCTATAGATATAATTTATCTACCGGACGTGAACGAATGTCCATTCGTCATAGACGTCAGTGAGCAACTGTTCGACTTGTACCTTTTGCGTATCTAAAAGGACATCCCAATTGCGATTCTGGCAAGAACTATTACGCCACACTGAGAACAATGGCGGGCCACTATCGGTTTCATCGACTCCACACCCCCGCTAGCTAAGGATCCTTCGCCCAAATCGGAAAAGGAATATAAGGGATTAGGGAATACGATAATAGTATTATACATGTTCGTACCTATTTTACGTAACTCTAAATTTACAGGTGTTCCAAGCATTATGGCTTATCTATCTCAAAGCGGTGGCTGTGCAGGTTGGATTAAAGCCCCAGTAATTACCTTACACCGGTGAATAATGCGCAATTGTATCGAATACAAGCCCAGAACACAGCTGACTAGTCAGATTACCGAACGGCCAGGCTATCATCAATCGAGTCTCAAGGCCTAATTGCACTTTCACGAAGTCGATTTTTTAAGTTCTGGGATGTCTTCGGAGGTGTCCCGAGAATCTGGAAGTAGGTTGTCGCGCCTTGTTCATATTCTCCTCTCTTGTAGTGTTTCAAAGAAGGTCGGCTATTCATTTTAAGGGAGTGGAAGAGGAAGTCCAGCTAGTTCAATGAGCTCGTTTCTTCCTAGATAGTGCAGAATAAATTTCGACGATGCGGCTTGGGACCTAGTCTGCACGAATCTCAAATCAAAACAGTCCAAACCTGTCATGTGTAATTCAACAGCATCGACCTGGCAAGCATAGGCAATATAATAAGATAACCAGCGGGTATCTTGACAGTTCAGGAGACTTTTATCCAGGTCTGCAATGTGAACCTGGAACTCCGAGGGGTAGCGGGTAGAATACGGCCTTTTGCTTGTCTCATCAAGACTGGATAGGTTAACAAACCAGTATGCCACGTCTTCGCTCCAATAGATAAGCTCTTCTTGTTTTCTCGAATATCATGAGTCGATTGAAGGCTTGAAAGTCCTACGACAGGAAGAAGCATGATCAGACAAGCTAGGGCCAGGGGGCAAAATGATGCCTATAAGTCAGGGTGGAATGATACAACCTGAAGACTGGCAAGCGAGGCTCTCGATTATCATGGCATTATCGATAATATATAGTCATATTGGACACGTGCTCATTAGTAATGGAAGGGGCGAGGGCTCATTTCCAAGCGTATTCGTGTCATCATCAAAATGTGCCGTTCAAGTGTGGTACTCCACCTGGGCCTTCTGAGTTTCAGAAGGAGTACTATTGTACCATATAAATCTCTTGTAAATAAGTAATATTTACATACACCAAGTTCGTGAAAGGCTCAGAGCTCAGGAATATGCAGGAAACGATCTCGCAACTCTCACCGGATGAAATAATTGGATATCGACCAGGTTGTCGGTTTGCTTTGTAGCATCAGAAAATCTGCATAATAGTTAGGCTTTTGCTCTGGCTGAGGGGCTGGAAAGAGACAGACCCGGAATGCGGACGGTTGCTTGAACTTACGAGCAGTTTTCATGAGACCTTGAGAAGAAATGCTTGAAACTTGGATATGTTCACTCTAGGAGGGAACAGTGTTTCTTTTATATACTTTAACTATCATCGTTAGCAATCCCGGCTCTCGCGAATGGGTACTGGCACGGAAGCTCCTAGGATCTAGATATTCTCAACAATCACATTGCGGTGGCATGAAAGGTCTGAGAGCTCCTGGGAAGTCCTATCAGACTTTAGCTAGAATGAGGCATTTTCTGATTGCTAGTTAGAATATGTTGGGCAAATGAGGGGCCGCAAATTTCGTCATGGCGGCTAGATCATCCAGTAGGCATGATCGATGGGTCTAGAACATTTGTGCGGATGTTCATCGCTAGAGCCTATGTCGCATTCCTAGGAGCAAGCAGCAAGCAGCGAGAGCGATAATCTGGTGTTTTTCAAGCGAAACAAATTCCGAACAAAACAAAATCCAAGTTTACAAACTATCCAACTGGGGTTTTCAGAGATATTCCTAGATATTGTAGAACCAAAAATTGAGGGTTGTATATTTTTCGCAACTATGTAGAGACGGTGTCGTGGATGCAAGGCTCGGCGAGTTGAATAGTGGCATAGCTGCAGAATAGTAAACCCAATAAATGTGGCCCCACTATCAATTTGCCTCCCAGCTGGAGGCGAAACAACCAGGATCGACCGAAAAATTGATGATGCCAGCCTTTCGTTGAGGGGACAACGGTCAAGAGTTCTGGTGAACAACTGCATTTGGATGGGCTAGCGTGGACAGTTTATTGAAATGAGCTGCTGACTTAGCTGCTCCCACGCTTTGCTCAGGTCGTGCGCAGTAAGTGGATCAGGCTGCTCAGGGTGATGCTCAGTGAGCTAGTCGGAGCGCTCAGGTCATGCTCGGTGAGTAAGATCAGAGCGCTCAGGTCTCGCTCAGTGAGCGAGTCATCCAGCTTATATAACGATCAGGTGATGCTCAGTGAGCGAGCTTGATGATTATGTAATAATCAGGGGCATGCTCAGTTGTACTCAGTGAGCAAAAAGCGGCAAGCACTGAGCACTAAAACGGAAAGGGAAAGCCAAGAAGTGGCAGAGGAAATCAACTATATAGGTGAAATTTTCGGAAGAAACAAAGCGTGTGAGGGTGGACCAATGCGGTATTTCACAGATTGCCTTTGGTTTATTGAAACAGAGATGTGACAAAGGTTTCGACCGTATTCAGTTCCTTCGATATTTTTAATACAGCGATATTGAAGCGAACAATATGACTTCCATCTCGATATATCAGCACAATGATATCTCGGATAGTAGGCCTTGATAAATAGAGGTTTTTATGAACATGTGCATAGTTTATCTCGTAGAGGGGGTAACCCTATCGGTCCCATTTTAGTGTCTTCGCCTTGTGCGCTAGCTGCATGATGATTATATAGGATATTCTCTAGGTAGTGGTAGCCAATTGTAGCTCGTAGTTATCTAATGCAGCCGTATCTTGCACGGAATCATGCGGTTCCCAAGTGGCCTCCACGTCTTCATAGCCTTTCCATTTCACAAGATATGAGAGAGACCCCCGCGCCCCTTTCCTATGTTCAAGGATCCTTTCGATCTCATATTCGAGCTGATCATCAGATTCGATCTCCCCCGATATGCCTTCTTCACGCGACGGTCTTCCGTGATACGGTGCTAACATCATCAGATGGTGAGATGGAGGCTTTTGCACGTCAGCGGGCTCGGTGTTTGAGTCCCAGAGGGCATAGTCATGCACTGTATCTGCACCAAGAGATGTACCGCAGTTTGATGCAGCTGCGGTACTCGCGCTCGTAGAGGTTGAAACACAGTGCGGCAAAGCACCTTCGAACAGCCAGGACAGGAATTGTAATCGATCTTCGACCGACATAGCCAAGAATTGAGAACGGACCGAAGAAAAAGAAACATTTTCGAGAACACTGTTTCTTTTTTTGGGAGGCCGACCGGGACCACGGCCTGTACTCTTCTTCCGAGTATACGAGCGTTTCGTCACCTTAGGAACTTGTCGATTGGAAATCCCCGTGTGATCTGAGTCTTGTTGGTTTGATCGTGGAGGTCGATTTGTATTGGTGAAGGGTGATTCTGACGAGGAATATGTGACTGTGGATTCGATATTTTGGTAGGTTCCAGTTTTGGCGATATGTCCAGCATCAGCACAAGAATTGTCGTGCAAGATTTCAGGATCGATGTTAATGGTGTCTCGAGTTTCTTGAGTCTGGGCAGGGCACTCAGGTTCGGAAGCCTGAAGATTCCCCTCGGTAGGAACATTTCGCTGCGTAACTTCTATTCCACAACGGGTTGGAGGTGAACATGACTGGGATTCATCATTCAAGCACACCTCCACCGGTGGGCGGGCAGGAAGGGGATGTCGCTGGATTTTTCCGGGGTTACCCGTCAAGACCTTCGAGGCAATATCACGAGATATCGTAGAGGAAGGAAGAGTGGCCGTGATCGAGACAGGGCTCGGGTAGCGGCAAATTTCAGCAGGTTCGGGCAATTGCTGTGGATTGTCTTGGGTGGGATTCCATGGACGAAAATTGTCAAGCAGAAACCTAGAGTTCGACATAAGGGGGAAGAACGTAACAGACCAAACCTGGGAATGGGAGTGGGGATATGGGAATTGGGAATTGGGGTTTGGGAGGACTGGTGATGAACGCAAGATGAGGAGGGAACTGGGCAGGTAGTAGTAGGAGAAGGGGAATGAAATGGGGACATGGACTTTGATCTTGTGATAAATGTAGGGAATTGAGGCCTTTTATATTTTGTGAGCAGAGAAAGCAACCTTCCTCCTCCTCCCATGGCAAAGGAGGCGTATGGCCGCCTCGTCCAATCTGGGCCCATCCGGTGGGGGAAGAGCAAAGAAATCACACAGCTGCAGGGATGGGAAATTGCGGATCACCAAGTATACCTTTCCGTCGGAGTTGCCTACATCCCGGTTGATAATATCCACAATCATCCATCCTTGGGAGTCCATTCGCGGAGCGGCTGTTCGATAATGAGCGAGGCTTCGTAATCATGATAAATGTTAAGCTCAAAAACGCCAGTCAGCGTGATAAGAAGGTGCGGTATTTTCGCCATTGGTTCGCACCAACGGTTTGCTCCCAATGCATATCCACCGAGGGAGAAAGAACGGAGCACCGACGATGATAATGAACCTAAGCAAGGCGCTCGAGGGCGAGCTGTTCAAGGACAATTTGCATGAGTGGATGCCGTGGAATGTAACCCTGCGGCCCGAGCTGAAATCAGAGGAAGGTGCGTGCAAAATATGGAACGCTCGAGATGTATCCTTCGTTGACTCAGTTGAGTCTGTAATCAGTAGAACGAGACAAGTCGACAACAAAGATCCCTGAAACGAGTTGGCTGAAAACCATATTGTGTAATCGGCCACGATCACGTTTGCCGAAGCCGAAGATAATAATCAAATTGGCTGTCATCTCAAACATCGTAGCACTCAGGGCATGAATCCCATGGTGTCACCGCTGGCTAGAACGGGCTGAGTGGCGGATGGAGCGGCATCTGCGGTGGAATGAAAAGGGGCAGTGCTTTTGACTAGTGAAACAGCGTTGCAGCGGGTCCATGGGGGCGACAAAAGAGAGGGGGAAGGGGAAAACGAAGTGAAAGTGCGTCGAAGTTTCGGGGGCAGGGACGTCGGGTTTTTATAGATGGTGGGCAGTGACACCGGGGCGGTAAAAGCGGCCAGGGACGACACTAGTCCTGAAATGGGGCCAGTCTGCGCGCGCCATACCCGACAGGGAAGGGGAAAGGTGGAGTCGGGCAGGCGGTCGGGAGCGGCAGGACGGCGGTTCAATGAGGGCCGGATCTGGCGCCCCGCTAACCGTCCCAACATATACTTTTTAAAAAGATAACTAATATAAATAGTCTATTCTTACAAGTATTACTTATAATATTATATCTATTCTAGCTACTAATATAGATATAAAGTAACTATTTAACTTTATATATAATATTTATTATTATTAATAAGATTTATTAAAGCTAAAGATAATTTAGGATATTATGATATTTATATATATAATAAGATTTAATTTATAAAAAAACTAATAATTAATTCTTTAAAAGTATCTAACTTTTTAAGAGATCGTAATTTTAATAAAGATAAATAATATAGATATTATCTTATTTAAACTAATTAGTAATATTAAGGAAGATATAATTAAACAAATCTAATCACTATTTATTTTATAATCATCCTTGAATATTATTCTTAAAAGGAGATAAAAAAGTAGCTTACTAAATAAAGATAATAAGATATAATCTAATCTAGAGAATAATATTAATAAAGATGATAGACTTCTTTTTCCTCAATTATCTAGAAGAGTTTAAAAGATATTAAGAAGGCTTAATAAATATATAGTAAATAAAAACTAGAATTAAAATTATACTTAAAAAGCTTCTATAACCTTAGAATATTATATAATTATAAAATATTCTCTAAAGAAAGTTAGGTATTATAATTAAGATACTTAAAAATACAAGATAAATCTACATAAATTATATATATCACAAGATTTGCCTATTTATCTTATTTATAGACCTACAAATGATCCTAAGATTCACCCTCTAAGGGTCTAACCCCTAGATAGACTACCCTCAGGGTCGGAAGATTGGACCCTCGAACCGCCCCAGTAGCAGGGCAGTCCGAGGGTCATAAGGGTCACCCACAGGTCACTGCCAGGTCTATATCTATCTATAGATAATAAGTTATAAAAAGCTTTTTTTTTATTTACAAAATATAATAGAACTTAGTTTAGAAAGCTAATATAAACTATAATCTTTGATTAGAAACTATTAAGTCTAGTAACCTAGTTTACTAGATAATATGATTTATAAATAATCTTATTATCTATTTTATATCTATTATTTTTTTATATAAAATAGAGACTAGTTATTATTGAAAGGGAGTTCCTATTATTGGTGGATCACATGACTGTGACCCTCCTATCTATTAGTTCTCGCTCCTCCATAGCTTCTCTCTTCTTCTTTCTTTCTCTTTAGACACATAATACTATTCTCCGAATAGCCTTCTTTCTTTTTGCCTATGATCTTATGGACCTTTTAAGAGGTTATAAGTCTTTTAGCGCACTATTGATTAACTATTAACTGCTAAAGCTTTACCCTAGCTCTATGCGCTGAGCCAACTAATCAATCTTGTCGAAGCTTTTTTGCTTTGACAATCTTAACGAATTAGAAGGATCGTCTGTTTGCAGTAGTTATCTTGAGAGATCGTCTTATTACTAGATCTATCTTTCTAATCTAGTAATCTGATAGCTTTATTTATCGTTGTCGATTTTTTTTATTTTGATAATATCTCTCTTTATCGTCGTCAATCTTTATGATCTCTGCTAATACCTTATTACCTCGTCGATTCTTTTTGTTTTATTGTGACAGTATTTTTATTATTTTTTTGTTAATTTCGATATATTAGTGATTCTTATAAATCAAGAGTTAGTATAATAATTGTATTTCTCATATCTTATGACTATAAAACTCTTTTTCTAGCAAATAGCTTTTGCTGATAGGCGATAGCTGGATTTCTGTTGTAATAGTCTAGCACGATAGCAATAATATATTTGCTGATCTTTATATATGTATAATATAGCTATTAATAATTATAGTTATCTAAGATTACAAAAAATCCTATTATTGTAACTTTATCGTTATTTAAACCATCTTGTATTTCGATAACCTATTCTTTACTCTTAACCCTTGATTTTAGTTTAATTATATAGTCTATATCTATTGAAGATATATTCCTATCTCTTAATATATTTAAAATCCCCTTTTCTTTTATTAAGTTACCTATTAACAGTTACGAGCTCTACATTAACTTGGCGAATAAAGAGCTCAAATCTATTAAAGTATAGACTATATAATTTAAATCGAATCTTCCTATTTCCTCCATTAATATCTATTATTTCGAAAATATCCTTAAGTTTTATGAGAAGCCTAACTAGATAAACTAGTAGATTAAGTTTTTAAATATTTTGAATATATAAAATGACGTGTTTAAGGATATTATATTAGATATTATTAGTTCTCTTATATAGTCACGTTTTATATTTATTAATAACGATATTATTAAATGTGAATATTTCTTTAGAAAGATAACTAAGCTCTAACTTATTAATTTTAATAATTCCAAAAAGGATATCGATATTTTGATTATATCTGATCTTAGTAAAGTTTAGGAATCTCTAGATAAGATTAATAACAAGTTTTAAAACGATTTTTAGTAGAATTAGAGTATTTGGGTTATCGCTTATTCCTGAATTATAAATTATCTTAATATCTATATAAATACTAATATTAAATTAGCGATTTTAACGTATAATATGTTTTTTGAGGTCTTTATTATCCTTGAGAAACTCTATAGATAGAGATTATCTTAGACGATTATATAAAGATTTAGGATATAGAATAAGCTTTGTTATAAGGGTAATGATATTACTAGCTTTATAAATAAGTTTTAGAAAGTGCTTTATAATTATAAAGAGACTATTACACTAAATAAGAGCTTCTTTAAATAGGAGTATATAGCTTTTATAACTATAATTATATCGAATCTCTATTATAATATTTTTATTTAGATATTTAAATTAATAAATATGTATACTATATATTAGAAATTCTATATTTCTAAAATAACTAATAAGTTAATCTAATATATTTATTCTAGCAATAATAAATTAATAAATCTTCTTTTTATAAATTTAATAATCGCTAGAATCTCTCTAGAGAATATTCTACTATCTTTAGATGCTTCTTTATTATTCAAAGACAACAAAAAGGATATTAAAAACAAGGGTAAAAGATTAATTCCCTTGAAGTCTAAGAAATATAAAAACAATAAAAATGCTTACTATTATTAGTATTATAAATCTTGAGATATTTATAAACTTAAGGACTACTATTTAAAAAAAAATAACTCTAGTAATTTAGCTAATTTAGTTAATTCAATAATTGCTCTTACTCTATTAACTAACGCCTCGTTAATATATAGTATATAGATTAATATAATAATTATTAATCTAGCATTTACTTATTATAATAATCTTTAGATATAATAGGTTAGTATTTAGATATTAAAAAATACTACTATTTCTCCATTGTTATTTATTGAATTTAATTAGATAATCAATTCTAGCACTTCTAAATATATAATATCCTTCTAGTCGATTTTTGCTAATTTTAAGTCTTATTGTATACTCGTTATTATTATAATAGACTAGCGTTTTTTTATTAAGGGCTTTAGTGATATTATTCTATCCATTTGGGATCCTGTAATCTAGGATCTCGAAGAATTACTTCTTTAAAAAGTTTAGCTTATTTTAGAATTAAATAATAATCTAATCTTTATTTCCGCGTTTAATAAATAAGGTTATCAAACTAGTTTTAAAACTAAAAAGACTATTTTCTTATACAAAAATAGATCTAAAATTGTAGACCTATATATTACTAATCTTGTTAAGGACTATTATTAGCTTAAATATCTAAAGGGTTTATTGGATTTAATAAAACACTTTATTTGTATTATGTAAATAACTT